TTAATTAAAAAAAACCTGTGCTTATAAAAAAAAAAAAAGAAATTAACTTGGACAGCGCTGGGATTAAAAAGGGTTCAAATATCGATAAAATATTTTGTAGCAAGTTTACTGTGATAAGCTTGGACGAAAGCGTCAGTCATCAACAACCAATTGATGTTTTGGCATGCAAAGATGTTTACTTACCTAACTTGTCATAAGAATCAGATTGCAATATATGGCGATCACTTGGACTAATAGACTAATAAGATGAGACAATCCGTCTCTTTCTATTCCAATCGTTATTTGGTTTGCAATGGCATAAACATTGAATGTCATGGCATTCCAGTCATAAACCATAAAGCATACAAGATTTGTAAATAAATATAATTAAGAGCATATCACTATGTATCTAAGCTTCACATGAATTGTTATATAAAAATGCTATCTTAATTGTGTTACATTATACCAGAAAACAAAGGCTTCATAACTTGGCAACTGGGTAGTTATAGAAGGTAGCATGGGATTTATAGATTAGCTTCTCAGTTTTCTTCAACTTAAACTCAAGCAAAACTACTGTCAAATTTCGTCCGCTCTTCACCACATAAGCATCAGCTATCACCTCCGCCTGCACAAATAGAGCATAACCATGCAATGAAGGATCTACCCAGGTAATCAGAGTCTTCATATAAACATGGTAGTTTCAGCCAGCCACCATAAGTCATCCGGCAACTAGCAGGATCAAAGAGTTTTTAATCATAACTATTTTAAAAAAAAAAAAAACTTCAGTCTTCTAGTTAAAGGCAGTACTGTTTTTAATTCCAATGGTTAAACCCCCCCCCAGGTGTTTTCTTCCAATGGGTAAAGTTCTGTGCAGGTGTTTAGTGTTTACAGTTCACAACAAATTTTTCCAAGACTTAACATGGTCAAAAATATAAATAACTTAGAGAGTAATTAATGCTTCTTTATCAATTTTGTCCTTACAATTAATGCTTAAATGTAACTCTTTGTATTTCTCTCTCTCTCACATTCTCATTTAATATGGTTGAAGTTAGAAAAAATTTTCAATTTTTTAACTTGACTGCTATTTTTTATTCTGATAAATGAGTTAAAGTGACTTGCACTGTGGATTAGAGGAAGTAAAAGTTATGCTTTTGTCGTATTCTTAGTAGCAAAACTAATAACAAACACCTCAAAAACTGCATCAAAATGTTATACAGCAGAAATACCTACCCTAAATTGATGTGTTGGATTAGTTTGGATTTTGAAACTTCGAAAGGGGTGGGTTTGGTTGCGTTTAAGTTGAGGAGCATTTTCAACCTGGAATGCAATCTTGTTGCTTATAATCGACATCCTAGAATGCATCACTAGTACTAACACCTTGAACGTTTACCCTTATTAGCCCATTATTTTTAGTAATTGCAGTGGATGATGCCGAACAACTTTATTTGTATTGGTAGGAACGCTGGCACATCAGCTTAACGTTGAAACTTAAATGAAATGCTTTTCTGAAGAATAAAACTTCCACAGAGAAACAGTGACACAACGTGAGGGGTCGAAATCAGGGCAATTCAACTGTTCATTCGCAGAACATGCAAAGAAAAGCATTATGTAGCAAACAGAAGAATCGAAGTTCAAAACAGAGGACTCACAGTGACCGGAGCACCAGAGAGGTAAGACATGCTCATTTCCCCGAGAAAAATCTGCTTATCACCAGGTACAACAGTTCGAGCACAAGCAATAGATATCACTTCAGCCACAGATGCAAGACCCCCTCCATGCAGTGTTCCAAAATAATTCTGCAATTCCAATCCAATAAACATTATGAAAAACTGGTAGCCGTTTCTATTTAGTTCCCTTGTATAAATCTGGAATGGAAAGAATCATTTCAGTTCTTGGAAGAGGAAGAGGGGTGAAAACTCTAAAACGAAAACAAAATTGCAGCCTCGCAACTGAATGCGCGTTATGTACATAGAATTTTTCATACCTCCAAAATCTACTAACACAAAGAAATCAAAGGACAAGAATTCCAATATTTGTAATGCGATTAACAAAAATTTCAATAGGCCTTCAAGAAAGTGAGAAACTGATCTCTTCCCAAATGTCTATGCTGCCCAGCAGAACATCAAGAGTAACACTAATAGCAGCGTAAGAAAAATATGAGGATATAGGCGATTACAGAGATAGGAGGTTTGATAGAAATTGTGCAAATGATTCGACCCCGTTCGACTCGATCGACGTTAATGAAACTGCGAATGAATTTAGAAAAGAAGCCATTGGCATGCGAAGTTTGCGGAAGCGATTCGTTAAGTCCCCAAATTTGAAAGGCAGCTAGAGTCTTAGAAGCGTAAAGAGGGTCAATTTCCGGTGAAATCTTCGGAGCTGTCAAGGAAGGGTGTGTGTGAGGATGAGGAAGAACAGTAGAGGGTCTAGCTGCCATTGCCGCCTCGTCTCTCCCCAATCTTCCAACGGACTTCGCTTATATTAAAAAAATATATATATATATATATAAAAAATTTTCCTCCCTAAATTTGAGTCCATTCCTTCACATTTTAAATCCGTGATTTTATCCTTTAAAATTTAATTCATCTTAAAATATTACTACCTCCGGTCCTAATTATAAGACCCAGTTGACTAATTTGAGGAGATTAAGGAAGTAAGTTAAGTTAGTTATTTGTAACAAATAAGTGTTGTCATTCCTAAAATATCCTTGCTAATTAAGTATGTTGGTTAGAACTATCATTATTAGAAGGACTATCTTGGAAAACAATGCATAAATACGAGAGACAAAATAGATTGGGGTCTTATAATTAGGACCAAACTAAAAGTCAAACGGGATCTTATATTAAGGACCGGAGGTAGTAGTTCCTAAAAGTGTAATATTGTTAAAATTTGTTGAAATGTGACATTAAAAATGGTGATGTAGACTCACCAAATAACATATAATTAGATATTGTGTGAATAACAAATTAAGAACAGTTTTTGAAAATGAATAGTGAGGAAGAAAAAACAAGAAACAAAAGAGATGCATTTTGAGGGTTTGTTCTTTTTTTTCCCCTTCTATTATCTACACAAGATCAGCTAGGTATCATCTAGTAAGTGTACATTACCACTTTAATGTGATTTATGATATTTTAGTAAATTTTAACACAGTTATATTTTTTGGGACTAATGTTTTAAACTAAATTTTAAGAACTAAAACTATGAGTTTGAAATTTGCTAAGCTAAAAATAAAATAGGCTTAAATTTCAAGAAAAAAATTATATTAATCCAAAAAATGCTCATTAAACAAATTAGTTTAGATACAATAATAACAAAGCCGCATAAAAAAACGTCATTATGTATTATCAGAAAATAAACATAAAGAATTTACCTAAATATATATGTCAGTTTTTCTAAAATAATTTTTCTAATCATTATAAACCCTCTTACTATTTACAATTTATAAGATACTTTAAGAAAAATAATATAAATTTAAAAATAAAATGAATTGTAATTTAATTTTTTGGACCAAAATAAACTTTTTGTAGCTATTATATCTAGAATGAGAGGTAGTAAATAAATAAAAATATTGTTAGGGGACTAGCAATATGGTTTGGTTGCAAATTATGAAAACAATTGTAAATTTTAAAAGATTAATTCTAAATAAGTTTTGCTGGCAAAAAATTCCAAATAAGTTTTAAAATACAAAAATTTTATAATTTTTATAGGGTTAATATAATTTTTAGTCTCTTAAATTTGTCTTCATTTTAGTTGTAGTCCTTAGATTTTAAAACATAAGTTTTGGTTTCGGGCTAATACAATTTTTAGTTCCTCAAATTTACCCTCATTTTAATTTTGGTCCCTCAAGTGTCAAATCACATATTTTGATCTCTTAAGTTTCTCTTTATTTAAAACATTGATCCCTATAACTCAATAAAAATCTAGATTATTTTGCTTATTCAAAACCCAAAACCTATGATTTAAAACTTGAAGGACTAAAACTAAAATGAGGGCCAATTTGAGAAACCAAAAATTATATTAACCTTTTGGTTTTTGAAGTTTCTTTTCATTTAAGATATCTATTACTACAATTCAATAAAAATTTAGACCGTTTTGTCTTTTAAGGAACCAAAATTAAAATAAAAGCAAACTTGAGAGATTAAAAATTATATTAATCCTTTTTAAAAAGATAAATTATAAATTCTTAAAATTTAATAGTAAAAAAACAGAAAAATAGTTATAAATAAATTAAATTTGTGAAATTTTTATAAATCTGAAAAATTCAATTGCGAATACTGAAAGTTATTGTGAAATTCTGCAAGTTAAGCTAATTTTTCAATGCTTTTTTACACATCTTTCGTAAATTACAACTTATTTATTTCAATGTTTATAATTAAACTTATGAATTTATAGCTAATTCTTAAGAATTTATAAAAAGACATTTATATCATAAGATTTATAACTAAGCTTTAATGATCGAGTTACATACCCTACAATATATTTGTAACTAATACAATTGTCTATTTAGATATGTCATTTTCATTATCTTGTAATAACTCCCCATAATTATAGTTGCATTTCTCTAAGCCAGTTCAATTTGTCCCTGCCAACAATGACATCATAATGGAAGATCTAATTTGAAAGTTAATGTTGATCACCTATGTAAGATTTATTTCACATGTTTATCAATTTTTTTAAATTAACCCTATTGAGGGAGATGAGAGAAAGAGAATAAAGGAAGATGATTAAAATATTTTATACCAAAAAAAAAATCATATTAACTAATCTAATCCATATCTTTAATCTACTCAACTTAGTTAATTAGATCTTACATTAAAGATAGTAAAAGTAATATATTTCATGTAAGGATTGTGAGGGGAGATAAAAGTCCTGCAAGAAACAGGAAGCAAATGATGTTAATTAAGCTGCTTATATATCAGTTAACCTAAAAAGGTTGATCCATACCCATAACAGTTTTTAGATGAAGTGAGATAGGAATAGATGCTGAAAGAGATCATACACGAACATAGAATTCTTTCATTATGATGAAAAACATGACCACTGGTAGAAATAAGTGGCAGAAGGCAAATTACGGAAATTAGAGCAAGCCCACAACCAAAGATGAGCCTCATTGTACAGAGTTTGAACCCGGCGTTTTTTCGTTCCACTTTTTGTATTTCATATTTGAGATAAAGATGAAAATAATAACAATGAATATTCGCTTTCTCAACCACAAGTCCAGAATTGGACCAAAAGCAAACTTCCCACTGTCAAAAATCAAGAGATCTTTCTATTTCCGTAACATATTCAACATTTTGGTTGGAGTTAAACCTGTGTTATTGTATACATTGGTTATTGCATAACGCATGTCGCATATTGTCCTTGCTAACAATGACGTCACAACTTCACAAGACTGGCCAGGAAAGAAACCAATTGATTAGATCCATTTCTTCCCCGCGTTCATCAGTCCACTGCTGGCTTACAGCGCAAGCAGACATACCCCCATCACAGTTTAGAACATAAGGTGCAGTTTATACTATTGTGTTCACAGGAAAGACAACATCAAACGAATCTGACCACCTAAATCTCCATGCTTGTATAGTTACAAAAGCTTTGTTTCAGCAATGTTGCCCGTGGATCAATCCTGCCTTCTGTACAGATTAAATTTCCAGGCAATAGATCTTCTCCTGAGTGACAAGAAAGGGATCCTTGGCATCTAAAAACCATTCCGCACCTCTAGGGCACGGGCAACTTAAAATGATCTCCATATATTCCAACATTAATTTCACCTTTGCTTCTTTGGATGAATAGCTAAGCCAAGGTCCTTGCATAACTCTTCATCAGGTTGCAAGCTACCCGGAATTGCTCCAAATAGTCTTCTAAAAACTTCACTCCCTGAAACTGCTTGATGAAGACATGCTGATGTATCTTGCACTTTTCTTTGCAAATATGAAGATGCAGACATACATTTTCTAGAAGAACTCTCCGAAAATTTTCTGGCAAAATGATTGTCCAACTCAACAGCATCAAGAAACCGTTTTGTGGCAGCCTCCCAGGACAGCTCATATCTCTGAGCATCAGTAAGTAGCGCAGGGTCTTCGGTTAGTGCTTCAACTGTTGCTTTAACGAACCCATTGCTGTCATCATATGTCTTGCAGTTTGGAAACTGCTTGAAGAAGTCATTTGAGGGATGGTTGGCGCATACAACAATTTTGCCCATTGCTAAAGCTTCTGCTGTCGTTGTGCAAACCACGTCTGTTGTGCTTGGATTCAGAAACAATTTGTAACTGGAAAACAGAAACAGAATGGATTAACGTTTGCATGCTCCAAGTAGTGCATTCACTAAGAGACAAATTCTATAATTTGGGCCTTGAAAGATACCACTGATTTGTAAAAGAAACAGCGTACAATGGAGAGTTTAATCTTCTTGATTTTGGGTCAGTACAGTCTGTTAGGGAGCCAACAAAAGGAATAATTCAAACCCAAATTAGTGACAGTTTTTAGGGTCCAAAAAATAGTCATCTCCAAGATGTTTTTCATCTGACCTAGGGTCGTTTATGACTAACATCTAAAGAAAAAATTCTACAAGAGAAAGAGGGGAAGCTTAGAGAATTAATTAACATTTCAATTAAAAAAAATACTCCTCCGCTCCTTAATATCAAAACTACTTAACTAATATGGATAGGTTAAGAAATGTGAATAAATTACTTAATTCTAACAAATTAATATGATCCCCCTACATTACCCATATGTAACATTACATTACACATCAACTTATAACTTAGACAAATTAGTTTGAAAAAAAATTGATAAATATAAAAAATAAAATAGATTAAGGTCTTACATTTAATACAGAAACTAACTCCCTAATTAGCTCCCACATTTGGGACCAAAGGAGTATTAAACATTAGCTGATTACTGCTGTCTTGTCCAGGGAGGCGCATGCAAGACTGCAGTAGAAGTGAGATTTAAGTTGGCTTTTCCCAGCATATATCTAAATGACTTTTGACTTGACATGAATAATATTAACATTGTATTTTAGCATACTTTTGTTATCCTAAGACTGGCTTAGCATGTGATTACTTATGCAGATTGAGTAATTTTCAAGTTAACATGTAGTTTGATGCCTTACTCTGTTGCTCAGATGGTATGGCGTCTATAATTGACTAATTAATTGATTCAACCTGAATCATTTTTCTTCAGAATAAAAGAAACAAATTAAATCGTTTTTCTTTTCCATTGATGCACTTCAGGCACCTTTTTTTCTAACTAAATTCTTCTTTGGTCTATAATCTTTAAATATAAAATCAAGAAAACGAAGTGATGTTTCCAAAATCTGGCAAAATCAGTTGGCATGATGAAGCTTACTCATGAAATATAGGATCTACATGATCACGTGCTGGGTGAACTCTAACTATCAGTTCCAAGTTTTTCACCGCTTCTTGAACTCCATCTGAATCTTCTCCACTGCCAAACAAATCAACCTCAAGTCCTACAAGATCATTTTGGTGGTCACTGAGAAGTCTGATCAGCTCCTTGTAGCCTTTGCTCCATACCATCTTCCCAATATAGTAGGCACCTTTCGTAAAGGCATGACCTCCATTCTGCAGTTGTTCCATCTTTTTCTTACCAATGGCAAGGCATTTGGGGTTCACTCCATGGACGTTACATATAATGGAACCATCATAATCCTGGGTAGCAGCAGAAAGTCTAATAACCTGAAATCAAATGAGGGACATTTTAGAGTTATAACAAAATTATTCATAAACTTTTACTTAAGATGGCCAAAAAAAAAAAAAAAAGAACTCTATTTGTGGTCACAAACTTTTAAGTTAAGATGACATTGAGGATAGTCAGAATGATTGCTTGATGGGCCAGAGGAAGCAAGGCATGTTATCATCACTTTCTGTCCATCAGCCTCATGCAATCAATAAGAAATAAAAAATTGCTTCTCGCTATCCACTTTCACCAAACAAAAAAAAAAATCAGAGATTTTACAGCACCGCCAGACAGTTAGAAAATTCACTAACAGGATGACCATCCAATTTATATTGACTCATCAAAATTCAAGATTTAGTAGTCTAGAAATGATAGCTTCATCTATGTCGAAGTAAGGCCAGAATGCTAAGGCATGTAATGGATACATTATTTTCCTTAATGATATAGAGACTTACCTTGTGACAGTAAATATCAACAAGCCATTTATTTATATGTTCGAGCAAAAATGCTTGCATTGTTCCTTCAGTCTCTCTCTTCACATATTCCACGTAGTTTGTGTGAATAATACCTATAACTAACTGGAATTTATTCTTCCATCTTTTCCCATGGTGAAACCATGTCAGGTGCTCAGGCTCCTCCAGAACAGCAATATCTGCCTCTTCATCAGGGATAGCTTCTGAAATATCTCCAACTCCAATGATGCTCCTTTTATCTCTAGAATACTACATTATGTGTTATATCATAAACTATCACTATGTGAATGAGAAAGAGACACCATCATTACAATTGGCAAACAATTATTTCTCACATAATTGTCATTATTAGATGGTAAAAATTCTACGCATTCACAGATGTTTCCAAGCAATCATCAAACAGATTGACTAAATTCCAAGCATTCTAATCATTAACCATTTCACGAGAAAAGCATATCACTATAAATGCGTTAGTAAATCAACGTAGTTATTTAGGTACAACCCTCAACTCCACCCTACCCATCCTTACTCAAAACCTAATCTATGAAGCATAAGAACTACAGTAACAAAGTACTACAACCAAACATAAACTGTGACCTTTGTTTGCACAATTGCACATCTCTCTATCTGTGTATTTGCCTGCAAATTTTCTGTTCGTGGAAAATGTGTGATACAGTGAAAGCATTTAAGTAATGATCACCTTTCCAGGATAGAACCGTATACTGAAACAAGATGTGAACACAATCCTCTCTTCAAGCCAACAGCGGACATATTTCTCTTGCTCTAAAGGTGAAGTGAATGTGATATTATTTGGATACACTAGACCCTGATCTTTGAAAGATATCCAAGGGATCACCAAAGTGACGTCATTTTTACCATCTTTAGAAAGATATGCCGCGCGAAACAGAGGATTCACAGAAGTACCAGTCAACCATGGAAGGCTGGCAGTAGTGAAAATTGAAATATGCCGTTTCCTATCCATTAAGTTATTAGCTTTAGACATGAAATCTCATCATACTTCCCAGCTCCTTTGTGTGTGAAACCCACCTATGAAATCCAGATTTAAAATTAACACCAGATATGCATTAGAATCACTACATATAAAAGCAACATTTAAACACAGCTTGAGGATCAATCAAAATAGAATCAGCAGCTCAAATAAACAAAGGATGAGAAGTGAACTCAAACTGCCTGAGGAATAGGAAATTTGTCCCCCTCACCTTTCTGAAGAAAGAAGGGATTTCAAAGTGCAGATCATAAGAAAAAGAATATAAAAAAGAAAAAAAGAAAAGCCCCAACTCCAGCATAGAACATTTAGTTTTTCCATTCATACTGCCCAAATGTTCCCTAATCGTCATAAAGCATCATGCTGGGATCTGAAGAAGTTGCAGTTACTAATGACTAAAAGGAACCTTTGCGTCTTTGAATAAAGAGTAGAATGTCAATAAGGATTTATGCATTACAATAAGAATGATGCCAATTCAACTCAGCGGCTGTTTGGCTATGCTGCCCTTTAAAACAAAATGTCTGACCAACAAAAGAAAAAAATTAGTTAAAATTAAAATAATAGTAATTTCTCATGAAAGCCCAAAAACAAGCAAAACCAATAGGTAGTGGTAGCCAAGCTTCCTTCGTTTCCAGTTTTTTTGTAGAATGAACATGCCAAACATCCACCCTTCTCGTAACAAATAGAACGACCAAAAATATGAACTGCCGTATTCCATATATATTTATTTCATGCAGACAGACACAACCTCTCAGTAGCAGCCCAAAATGAAAAGAAGAAGTCAGAACCTTACGTAACAACAAATTACAGAGCAGATACGTACCTTGAAGAGTTCTTGAAGATCATAACCGAAAAGAACAAGAAGATGGACCAAGTAAGTGATTTTGAAAGAGAAATAGATTGTGGAAACTTGGAGAGAAAGCGAAGGCCGAAGGAACAAGCTCAAGAGAGTTCGAGAACGTGAGGAAGAAAGAGAATATGCTCTCTTGGGTTGGGCATGCGTCTGGCGTTCTTTGACTCTCTGGTGGTTGTGTTTGCTACTTTGCTTCTAACCTCAAGTCATCAGGCATTCGTTCCTTGAAAATGAACCTCAAGGGTGTTTGGGTATTAAAAAAAAAATTATTTTTTAAAAATACTTTTATATTAATTAGATAAATTTCTTCACATATTTACTTTATATACTATAAAATTATTTTTAAAATTATAATTTTAATTCTATTAGTAATTGTCTAGTTGATTGATTTAGGAAAGGACATTTCAGGGAAATATATAGAGGAAATAACAAAAAAACCTTAAAATTGTCACATCTCAATTCAAGCACTTAATAGTTCAAAATCTTGAGAGAAAAAGTTATTTGATATAGTATTTTGCAAATATAGTTACAAGATTAAAATGCCTTTATTTCAAACAAATCATTACTAATGCATTTCTTATTATTTGCTATATATCACTTGTTATTGTTAATTCATAATTTGTTAATAAACACTTTTTGTTTAGTTTTTATCCGTTCGCAATTTGTTATTAAACTTTTTCAAATAAAAATATTTTAGTTATTTAATTATATTTGTAAAATATCAGATTATGCATCACTCCTTCCGATAAGACTTTAAAGTGTTAGGTACTTGAATTAGGATTTTACAATTTTTTTTGTTTTTTTGTCGTTTTTCCAAATGTGTGCGCGCGCGCGTGTATATATAATGATTAAAAAAGCGTTCGAAAATATAGGCAAAAAAGCCCATCGGCAGCCCACCGGCAGCCCACCGCGGCTGGTGCTGGCTACGGCGGGAGGTTTCGTTTTTTGTCAGGGGGAGGAGATTTTTTCAAGCAAGTTGTGGATTTGTGCTCAAATTAAAATTAAAGGACCATTGTCTCACCGACGATTTTTTATCATTGTAATGTCTGAAATTGCATAGTTGCATACAAGTTTTTTTTAGACTTATTTCTGAGTTTTCGAAAGGCTTGACAGGTTTAAAACTTTTTTAAAAACCTCCTTATAATATAAGCATTTAAAAAGACTTTATGTTTAAAGTTAATTGTAGGTTTTGAGTCTAAAACGTAGATAATTGTAGGCTCTTAATATATTTAAGGCCTTCATATTTTAATATATATTAATAAAATAAAATTTTAAAAAATTTATCAAGTCAGGCTTGCAAGCTTTCAAGCTAGGCTTTAAATTTAAAAGCCTAGTCTGTTCATCTTAAAAAGCTTCTAAATAAGTCTTAGGCTTAGCCTATTTTTATCCATACTTATAATGTTTTTTATATATATTCTTTTTCATCTATTTTTTCATTTATTATAGGGCATATTTGTGAATAAAAGTATATTTTTAACCTAATTATTATTTTTAATTAATTATAACTAATTGTTCATTATATGCAAATTAGTTATTCAAAACTTATAATAAGAATCAAAGGACGGTATTCCATGCTTGCAAACCAATGCATTAAATTGATAATTTTTTTTCACATTTGCCTTTATCTTCAAAAAGTATTAGAAATATGTTTTATATTTTTCTTCTATTTATTTTATCTCTCCCTATATTTATTAAGTCAATGGGGTAAAATTGAAAAAAAAAAAATCTTATTAATTATCCCATAAGTTACTTATATTTCGGAACAATTTTTTTTTCCAAATACAAATCACTCATAAATAGGCGACAAAGTGGTATATGTACTTCTTTATTTACTATCAGTAACTTATCTTTCTTTATAGCTGTTTTATCAACTAGTCAATTAGTGGCCTCAAGATTGAGTAATATGCGACTGCTCTCTCTGGTTCTGTATCTGGTTAATCAGATCCTTCCTATCCCATTAAGGAAATTAAAATAGGTTCGTACGGTAGTTGGAAGGCACCAGATCGCTGGCTGGCAGCTCGTGGGGTTGGAGGGACATTCAGAGAAGTGTCCTAACCTCCTTCCCTCCTACATCCACTTGACCTCCCTCCCTTAACTCAATTGCATTGGGTTTCATGTGGAGATTTTATTGAATAAAACAATTTTTGAATTTTAAAAGATTTTGACCTCAATTATTTTATAAGGATAATACTTACATCAAGTTTTTTATATTCATTATGTCAAATTCTTGATAATATTTATGTGTCTTATTTTTAAAATATTACTCCTCCGGTCCTTAATATAAGACCCTTTTAACCAATTTGATTAGATTAAGGAAATTAGGTAGGTTAGTTAATTATAAGCAAAATGACACATTTTTTCTAAAACACCATAATCATCTTTCTTAATACTCCCACTCTCTCTTCTACTTGATTATGGTTGAGGGAGTATCCATAGGAGTAATTTAGAGAAAATTGATAAATATAAAAAATGGGTCTTATATTTAGGACCAAAACCAACTCAATAATTGGGTCCTATATTAAGGACCGGAGGAGTAGTATTTAATAACATTTAATTGTAAATTCACATGAAACAAAAAAAAAACACATATGACCATGAGTGATTAGAAAACTTGACATAATGATAATGGATATAAGAAATTTGACGTAAGTTTTTTTTTATTTTAAAATACAAAATTTAGTTATTAAAACTCTACATCCCGCCATTCATTCATTGAAGTATTTTACTTGTTCACTCATTTCACTGCATTATTACGAGCAGTAAATTTAAAAATCTTCAACATTGTATTTTTATTTTGTCCGTTTTTTTAAATGGAAACAAATTTGGTGCTTAAATATTTTTAAAAAATTATAGAAAAATAATACACACACATATTACAATTTAGTTATTTTTTATGGATTACATTTAAAATATCAACTTGACTGTTAAAGATAATGATTCAATATAGACAATGAAAACTCGATCTTCCAAATATTTATATTATACAAAATATTCTTTCTTTAAGTGTATCATATTTTATATTTATATTTTTATTGATAATAGATAAATTGTATTGAATTAGATTTATAATAAATTCAAATCCAATCAAATAAAATTGAAATTCAAAAGAAAAGTAAATAAGAAATATATATATATATATATGCTAACCATGTTTTATTTATTAAAAATATTCATTTGTTCAATATTTGATGTTAGTTTTCCATCTATATAAAGAATTAAAAATTTAATTTCAAAACATAATTAATGCACATGCAAGATTCAACTGTATATTAAATTTTTCTAAATACCAAGTAATTGCATGTTTCTTGTTAACAGAATTTCACCCATGCATAAATTGGAATATTTCAGTAAAAATTATTTTTCTATTATTAACATTATGAATTCATCAGATTCAAGGAGAATCATAGTATTTGCATATTCCTAAGCGAAAAAAGGATGCGATAACTTTACTGCTTTACATGCATGATATATATAATATTGTATATTCAACCAAAGTTCAAATAACTAGCATTATTTACTTTTAATTGAAATCAACGGGTTTCAAATTGATTAATTAAATTATCTATGAAGTAAAAATATCGATATTTTGGATATGATGAAAATCTGTTACTGATTAATTAATTAATGGCAAAAGATATTCTGTCATCGCTTCGCTGAAGAAGAGTAGGAAGTAGATTAGGATAGACATCATAATAATATAGAGGCAAAGTGGTAGAGTTGTTCATTATATATAAAGGAGTAATGCTCTTGTACTCAATTGTACACGATATATATATTCCGCTCCTGCAGCACAGTGCACCCTCGCCCAAGATGCCACCATTAACTTCAGAATCGCTTCTCATTCTTCTTCTTCTACTTGTTTCTTCATGTCTTTCTACTTGTTACCCTCTATCAACCCAGAACAAATGGATCATCGACGACTCCACAGGACACAGAGCCAAGTTTGCATGTGTGAACTGGGCAGGCCATCTTGAACCAATGATACCAGAGGGTCTTCATAAGCAGCCATTGAAGCATATCGTGGCTCACATTGCTCGCCACAAGTTCAATTGTGTTCGTTTCACATACGCTATTTACATGTGGACGCGCCATGCCAACGATACTGTCGCAGACACTCTTGTAAATTTGGACTTACCAGACGCCATCCAAGGCATGCAGAAGAATAACCCCTCCTTCTTAAACATGACTCATGTGCAGGTGTTTGAAGCTGTTGTCCGTGAGCTTGGGGCTCAGAAGGTTAGGGTTTTGCTGGATAACCATGTCAGCAAGCCCCAGTGGTGCTGCAATGATGATGATGAGAACGGCTACTTTCATGATCGCTACTTCGATCCTCAGGAGTGGCTACAAGGGCTTACCCTAGCTGCCCAGCATTTTGCTGGAAATTCTGCTGTATGTTTTCTGATTTGCTGTCTTTATTAGATGTTTTACACTACGAAATGAGTCTTATATTTAGGATCAGAGGGAGTATATAATTGCATGCATGACAAGTTTCAATTTCATTAAACTCTCTCTTTTAAATTAAATAGACTAATTAAGATATTCAAATAGATTATTTTATTAGACTAGTTGATCTCTACTTCGTCGATAAAAATATATATAGCTAGCTATTATTTTACTTTGCAATATTCACAACATACAGGTGGTGGCAATGAGCTTGAGGAATGAGCTGCATGGTGCACGTCAAAACCAGGGCGACTGGTACAAGTACATGAGCCACGCAGGCAGAGCCGTACACAACGCGAACCCACAAGTCCTGGTCGTGATCTCAGGTTTGAACTACGACACGGAGCTTCAATTTCTGCGGAAAAAACCCTTGAAACTAGACATAGGTAAAAAGTTGGTGTTCGAGACGCATCTGTACTCGTGGTCTGGGATAGGAACCCTAAAACTGAGGGGCATATGGTCGATGCAACCCTTGAACAGAATCTGCGCCCAAAGCATAAAGGGCATAGATTACCGAGCTGGTTTTGTGACCACCGGCGATAATGCTGTTCCTTTGATATTTACTGAGTTTGGGTTTGATCAAACTGGGGGTTCTGAGGAAGACCTCAAGTTCTTGACTTGCATTCAGACATACCTTGCTGGAAGAGACATGGACTGGGGCTTGTGGACTCTGCAAGGAAGTTATTACATGAGAGAGGAGCTAGTTGACTTTGAAGATACGTTTGGAGTGTTGGATTCATCATGGAATCAACTTCAGAATCCTAACATAACTCAAATGCTTCAACTTCTCCAAAGGACGAATCAAGGTACGCTTTCTGGGTCCAAGTTTGGAATCCATGTATGAACTCGAAGTTCCCCTTTAATTTTATGGACTAGCTAACACATTTATAATAATGTAGATCCTTCTTCCAAACTCCGCCAACATTCTATATTGTACCACCCTTTAAGTGGGCAATGTGTGAATGTGAACGACAAGGACGAGTTAGGATTAGGAAGCTGTGAAAACAGAAACAGATGGCACCATGCCAAAAATGGAAACCAAATCCTCTTGGTTGGCACTGACAAGTGCCTAAGTGCAGATGGCGAAGGCCTTCCTGTACTTGTCTCTGACCAAAACTGCAAAAGCCACAAAAGTGTTTGGAAATCTCTCTCTCTCTCGAAGCTTCATTTGGGTATTCAACACGAGAACCATCACCACCTGTGCTTGCAGAAAGATCCAAACACATCGGCCCTTGTCTCTGCCAAATGTGTCTGCATCGATGACGACGATTCTCTGTGTTTGGAAGATCCTCGCGGTCAATGGTTCCAGTTCGTTCCCACCAATGTCTAGGGACCATGATCATAAATCCCCCAGGTTATAAATTATTCCCCAAAACGTTTTATTAACTTTCAATGAAATTTGGTATTCTTTTTTGATAAAATTAGAAAAGGCTTACCGCATGTTTATGTAAGCTTCATGAGGATGTTTGGATATACTTATCTTATTCTTGTTGATACAGCTTTAATTTTTTTGACCGATATAACTGAGTATTATCAGTAGTGTGCCTAATACTGATAGTATATAGCCCTTTCAATATGATTTTGTTTAGCATACCTAATAATCCTCATATAAGGAGCTTTCAAAGTTTTTTTTTCCAAAATTAAACCTTAGCTCATTTTTTTAATACGTACTTCAATTGATCACACTAAATCATATGGTCTGGCAGATTAAAAAATTATCAAAGCTATTCTCAATTAGCCTAATTTACTCGTTTTTCTTGTATATGATGGTCCTTTTTTCTTTTACCATAGAAAACAAAAGCTACAAAGTTACTGAAACAAAAAATAAAAAATAAAAAATAAAAAAACATAATATGAATGCTACAAAGGAGGAAGGAGAGGTGGACGCTGGCATAATACAGATGAGACCAACACAAAACCTCAGTAGTTGTCTCGATAAATCGAAATTTCACGTAATATAATGGAATAATTACTGGCAGAATCATGTATGGCACTAAAAAGGGAAGGCAAAAGTTCTCCCTGTCAATTATATATGTTAAAGCCAGGACTGAAAAATTAATGAATTCCATCTGTCAAAGTCTCTTGCCACAATAATGAAGGAAACAGGTAAAATACTTCTCTTACTAATTGTCTGCTTTTGTACGTCGGCATTTTCCTAAGCAATGTTGCAAACGAAACGACACCCACCAGCCTCACTTGTTTATGGAGTCTGGAGAGGGAAGGAAAAAATTAGTGTCTGCACTTCCTTTATAATATACAAAATTCATTAAATAAAGAGAGAGGGGGTAGGCTTTTGTTACTGATTGAATAGATTGATGCTTTTGTATAAAAGTATTGAGAAACTGATTTACCAACACAAAAAGTGTAACTAGAAGCAAAAGAAGAAGCGAAAAGGTAGGCTTGCATAAAAAAGGTAGGATTGATTGATGATCCACATTTTATTCTCTACAGGCCAAAATTGACTATGCGGGCACTACTTTACAAAAATAGATTAATTGATTGATGAAAACTTTAATATGTGCAATTATTACAGGAACTGTTTTAAAGAATAGATAAATATAAAAATAAAATAGATTGAAATTTTATATTTAAAATAAAACTAAAATTCAAACTAACTTTTATATTAAGGAGTGATGTAGTATCATTTAACCAAATAAAGAATGAAAACAAAGAATGAGAAAAAGAGGATAATGGATGAAACAGTAATTAAACCATATAAAAACACAGTGGGGATTTTTTGACAGACACAAGATTACATTACAGAATACAAGCATATGACTCTTCATCTTCTACGCGGTGCAGAACAAATTGCAAGACATTTTAAGCAAATAGAATATCTTTCCTCTTGTTATTGATCGAGTCCAGATCCACCAACTACATACATAAAATTGACAGCATGGGTACATTCAGAAAGATAAGAAAAAAGATGCGGAGATTAATTACAAGATGTGAACTCCACATATGACTGTGTGACTGCGTAAGTGTGAACTGTCTGTTTTCCGCGTACGTTAAACCACTTCGTCCATTTGATGCTTTTGCTAGCCGTCATTCTTGATGAATGGGTTGCAGCTTGCAAGGTTCGGAGGTTCCTAGCTATGGTCTAAAAGATAGTGCCGGACTGATGAACGAACTATAAGGGTATATATGGAATTGCTGGAGGGGGTATCTCTATCATTTTTTAAGGGAAAAAATGAAAAAGAAAAAAGAAAAAAAAAACAAAAAACAAAACGAAAATCCCAATTTACATTCCCTAAAGAGGTATCAATAAATTCAGTTCCCGGCGTGCTTGGGAATAAGACGATTACATAACTCAGCAGGTGCACCAGCCAGTTCTGCATTGTTTTCAATTTTTGCATATAAGCATCAGAAAATCATCCAAAATAAAGGTCAAGTTTTTAAATTGACAAAGACGACTTCAATTTAGGCTGAAGGGCAAGCCTTAATGGCTTAATAGCATCAAACAGCCTCGTTGAGGGAAAATATCAGGGGTTTAAACTGTACCCCGGCAAAAGGTGTGCATGTGTAAAATTTTTTGGATTGAAGAATATTTTTACCTTTTCAAATGGTTTTTAGTTGCTTTGGGCTCACGAAGCAGAAACAACATAAACAAAAAATAGAAGAAAACAACCTTCCCCACTTGGTTTTTGAGAGCCCAGGCCCTCTCCTACGAAGCACTAGTTCCTCTTTGACCTTCCCTCACGACCCCACACCTTTTTACACACTTCAACCACTCTGACGCTAATTCATTAGCCATCCTTGTTCCCCATTCTGCCCTTCACTTCCGTGTATATTTCCTGTGTTGTTAGGGGTTGGGCCAGGCTTGTAATTCTTGGCTCTTCTTTGATAAACCCATTCCCATATCTTGGCTGGCCCAACACTTTCACCACCTCAAAAGTAATGTCATGCATTTGGATCCAAAAAGGACAACACAGAGACCAGGGGCGTTAGTTCCAGCAAAAACGTTAGTTTCATGAGAGAGGTTTCCAAATTTAATATCCTGATAACATCTCGAACATGAATGCCTCCAATACTAAGATGTCTATGTGTAGCTAAAGAAAAGGACAATGCAAAAAATCGATCTCCTGTGTTACATCATACTTTGTTGTGCGTTCAAATACGCACGTGATAGTCCAAGGCTTTCCTCGAAAAACTCATTGACATCCCACTCGAACACATAAATTATTCTCTACTTACTCAAATATCCAAGGCCTCCATCTAGATTTCAGACCTTACGTATCATCATTTTCACCGTCCCAATATTCGAGTTTATCTCCGTTATGAACTTTCCTCGAAGTGTGTTCTTACAAATTCGATTCTATCCTCCAGACTTGCACTCCAATGACTCATTAAAGAAAGCACCTTCCTCGTCCATCTCCATACCTCCTCACCTTCGAACACTAGATCGCATCCACGCACATAAACCTAGATCAAATCACTCGCTCTCTTGGTTAGTGGATTAAACTCGTTCGTGATTTGACTCCCATGTTTTAAGCACAAAGATTGGATTGAAAATACTCCAGAGGAGTAGGTCACCTAGCTCCCACATGAGGAGAGAATCACAACTCTCACAAAAGGCGACTCTTTCCATACTTTATATTGAACATGGCCAGAATGTGTATGAAACAGCAGCCAAACTCCTAACCATTTGCTCACGAGAGCCTTGATACCATGTCAAAAGATTAGTTTAGCTTTAAAAGCCTAAACCATTTAGATGTTTTACTACAAACTCTAACAATAAGCTTACCCTTAGCAGTGAAATTGAACAGTGGAGGTAGTGGCTGCCCATTGGGTAAACGTGTATTTGGGTCTCTAAGATCATCAAAGAAGGAGTGCGCACATGCTTCTAACTGGACAGAGAAGTGATAAAATTAGGTGGCATTTAATATGAATGATTACGATTTTTCAGAAATTATTCATCTTGCTACGTGGTTTTTGTGGGTAGGAACCATGCTCAGAAATATATTTAACTTATGTGACTGGAAATGCAATATGGATATAAATGAATTCTTTCATTATCAAATTATAACATTCTTACAGCAGTGCAACGTAGGTTTGGTGAATAACGAAGCAGTCTTGACACGAGATCCACTGCTTCTTCGGGTAGTCTCTTGTGAAAAACCTGTTAGTTAATAATTCATCAGATGATAGGGATTAGTGATCCAGGCTTCGCTGGAGAGAAAAGAGCAACAAACCTTGTGCCACGGGCGTGCTTTAAGCTGAGGGAACTTAAATTCTTTGTAATTGGGATTCATACACTTTATTTCTTCTCTTGTGGGTGTACCTAGTATCTATAATTCATTAAAAAAAAAAGATAAGAAAAGAAATCTCAGATTACAAGGAAAGAAATCTCAGATTAGTGAAGCATAGACGGAAAGAACGCAACCTTCAAGAAGAAATATGGTAAAAGAATAGAGAAGGGAAAGAAGCCAATGAACACAAAATTCAGGTAAAAAAAAAAACACACACACACACACACACAAAACTATACCTTAATGATTTCAACCAATTGATCAACCCCACTTTCTCCCGGAAACAGTGGCTGCAGATGATACAACATATATAAGACTTCATTGTGAAAATGCATAATTAATTCTGAGATCCATTTTTTGGCCAAAGAAAAAGCTCCGAGACCTATTAGGAGGAACTGGAAAGAATAATAACCCAAATCCAAGATACCAAATATCTGGTCGGCCAAAGAAAAAAGATGTGAGATATCTCGAGCCGAAAGGAAGTCCACAACAAACAAAAGAAAGCAATGTCGCTTCCGCAATATCTTTGTATAGTGTAACTAGAACATTGCAAGTCTCAGAGGCTGACATTTTCGCATATCTCAAAATCGACAGATGGAAGGCTAATAACCAAACCTAGACAACTGCACTGGGGGAAGAATTGACCCAAAATTAGAGTAAAATATCTAATAGAAAATATCAACTACACTAGAAATTACTCATGGACAACAAACTTCACTAAAATGTTCATCTTTGGGAAGTGGAACCAAAAGTTCACCACCACAACTTGAGCGTGATAGATAAAGAACAATAGCAACCAAAGTTCACCACCACAATTTGAGAGTGATAGATAAAGAACAATAACAATAACTCTTGCTTATGTCTCACCTTTCGTAGAAGGAGCTCAGCCAAAACACAACCAACAGACCATATGTCAATAGCAGTTGTGTACTCTGTTGCCCCAAATATAAGTTCCGGAGCCCTATAGTACCTCGAGCATATGTATGATATGTTAGGTTCACCAGGCACCTAAAAGTGCATAAATGTCGTAAGATCAAGAACACACTATCACACAAATCTCAAATTTCTGACATAAAGAAGCATACCAACATCTTTGCACTCCCAAAATCACACATCTTTAGCTGATGAGTCTGGGAATTAACCTGTGATATCCACCACAATTCATTTTTAATGAGACTAGATGTTATGGAAATGAAGCATTTATATGCTAATAAATAAATGCAGTCGTGTAAATATTCTTGAACATATTTGGAGTATTTCTTCGTGGCGTTTGCATGAAAGAATAATTATGGAACAAAAAGGATATTTTCCCCAAAAAAAGAAAGGGGGAAAACAGAATAGTAATCATGTCTTGGGCTGAAATGTTCAAGCAAATACACAAAACTCTTACCAGTAAGTTCTGGGGTTTGATGTCACGATGACACACACCAACCACATTATGCAAATAATTTAATGCACGGCATATCTACAAGGCAAACACCATGGTCACTCAATAAAAACATGCAAGCAAGAAATTATATTCAAAATCATCAGGATTGCCCGCGCCCAAAGAGAAAACAATGGAAGCTAAACAACTCCCGTACCTAGACTTACTTGGTATGTATACAGCTGTACATAAATGATAGGCATGTGCTGGTGGATCTTAGTATATTGCTTTGAGACTCTATAGACAGTTTCGGGTACATACTCCAAAACTAGGTTCAGGAACAACTTATCTTTATCAGTAGTTGAAAAGAAACAGTTCTTTAATTGACAGACATTAAGGTGGTCAAGCTTGCGAATTATCTGGAGTTCCCTATTTTTATATCTTTTGTCTTGGAACACCTTCTTAATGGCAACTGCTTCACCAGTCTCAACACACTTGGCCTACAAATGTACAAGGTATGTGGATAAGTAAGCCAGCTTCTTGAGATGCATATAACAATAAAGCACAAGATCAGTATATATGTAAAAATACATGAAAAAGAAATATATACCTTAAAAACAACACCAAAGGAACCAGTACCAACCACACGTTCTGCCATGTATGAGACTGTCTGAAAGCCAGACAAAGGCCGAGTTATTAAAAGCACCTTTTCGCAAAAAGCCAGATATAATTTAATGCGCAACTCGCTGACAATGCAAGCAATATGATGTACACAAAATAAGTACCACAGTCATTATATCTTGTCAAATACTAAGCATAAAGCTGTGATAACAATTGAAATTCAACCTTAAAAAAAGGCTGCTTTGTTTCTCTGATTTAAAAAGTAACATCCAAACTACAAACCTTTAATGACAATTGACAACTAGAGCAAGTCTGAAAGCGGTATAAATGTTTAAACAAAGGAGAAAAATCAATAATCAGAAGTGTTCTTCCCATCTGCCTGTATGCCAATAAGTACATGACAAACTTCGCGTCCAACAAACTTAGAACATAAATTATGAAAACAAACACTTGGCATTAAAAGAAAAATTCAGGACTCCGGAGTAGGGGCAACAAATAAAAATTGATGGACCAATGGATAGGCAAAGGGAATGAGGAGATCACCTGCTTTGGTTGTCCGTCTTTACCACCAATGGCAGTAGTAATTACCTGACCTGCTTCTGTTCGATTACCACTCACAATAGTCGCCTCTATATCTTGCATACAACAAAACTGTAATCAAATTCAATAATCGATTGTATCGATCGATTAGATGTTTTTAAGGTTCAAGAAACATTTGAAGAAATGTAACCTGGTTCATGAAACCTAGCATTGACATAATGGTGCCTTTTTCCCCCCGGGGGGGGGGGTGTCACCATTCTAATGCGCTCCCTGCTGCCCCTTCATTTTGGCCTCCTTCCCAAATGTTTTTTCTTGTTTTTTTTTAATTATTACATTCTAATAAAATAAGTGATACTTTGATATTTTATGGGTAAAAAATGGAGCAATTTTTAATTTTCTTTATGATTTTCAAAGCTTAAATAAAAATTGTGTTGTTTGTTTTAAATTTAAAGTATTTTTCTTTGAAAAATCATAAAAATTGAAAACTATAGCATTTTTTAAGATATAAAAGTGTCTCGCATTTTATCTAAAATCTAATAATAAAAAAAACAAAAGAAAAACACTTGGGAAGGGAGTCAAAATAAAGGGGCAGCAGGGAGCACATTAGAGAGGGGGAAACAGGCATCCTCCCGCCATTTTACTTGGACACTTGCATTGAAATAAGGATTTAGAAATGCTTAAATTTCTATATTAGGGAAGTGATGATAACTAGACATTAAAGGCAGATCAAAAGAGAAAAAAATAATAATAAGATATACTTTTTCAATGGGATTGTTGACTTTTGTATCCCTAATTTTCATTTCATGCAACTGATTAGGAAACTGATGATAATCTAATCTCTCTGTTTTGGTTACCACAGAGGCATTAGATGCATCCACACTAGGTTTTTTTGATGCATCCACATTATGCTTCCGATCTGTCCTGCCTCTCCTAATAGAATGTGTTTCCTCAGTTACTTTACCATCAATTTCTTCATCAACCTTAACCCTCTTTGTGATAAACTGTCCTCCCTGAAAAGGTACAATTTGAAATCACGCAAAGTTTAAATACAATAACAGCAATCCTTGTAAGTGTTTCAAATAGCATCAACAAATGAGACCGCATGATTAGAAGCAAACCTCAAAAAATCCGATCTAGAAACCATTCCAAATAAACCACCTATACCTCAAACATCATAAAGTGATTATTACGATCATCAATTACTCAGAGGAATGAGACGAAATAAGGTGTATGAGATGAAATGAGTACCTAGGTTCGAAAAGGAAGAATCCCAGAATCAAGGCAATGAATTTTCAGAATCTTAAAAACAACATTATAAATTTGTCTTAAAAGGAGAAATACTGACAAAGATTTAGGATAACATTGTGAATTTCCCCCCTAGTCTGGGCCAGAGAAAAATTCATTTCCCACCCACTTGATATTTTTATTCCCCAGCAAGCAAACAAACAAACGCAGAGATCCCTAAAAAATAATACAATAAAAAACTTAACAAGAAAAACAAAGATAAAAAGTTAAATTTACAGGATCCGATGAAATGGAAGAGCACCCTGAAGCAATGCTTTTGAGTCGTCTCATCATATTCATGGTTATCGATTTGCACCCACAGCAACCCAAACTAGGCCCTGAATTACCAAATTCTGAAACCCCTACAAGAATTTAAAAAAAAAAAAAAAAGAACACTAAGAAGCGACAGAAATCAAATTCTCTCTCCCCCCTCCACGGTTTGCACCCAACAGAAAGGACAAGGAGAAGAGAGAGAGAGAGAGAGAGAGAGAGAACGAAATAGAAAAATGGAGCCCAACACAAACTTATGAGCGACCCTTCCTCTGAGACACTGCTTCCAGGTGGCCATTTCGTTTCCATAGTTAATTTTTAAAAATTGTATTCTCAAAATTATGTGGTCAAACTGCCATTAGGGGTGTTCATGGGCAGGGCTAGGCAGGCATGCCCCTTGCCCGATGCCCGGCCTGAAAAATGAGCGAGTTGTATTTTGCGGCTCGCTGCCTGTCCTGTCTACAGAAACCCTAACCATTTTTCGGGCTGGACAGGGCGGGCTTTCAAGCCCAAATAATGATACCTTGGTGAAAATTTTTTTAGTTAAAGTAAAGGTATCTTATAACAACTATAAAGAAATAAATACTTGAATAAACAATAAATTCAACAAATCAATAATTTTACTTTGTCTTAAATTGATATATCTTTTAATATAACACTAAAGTGAGCTTGCTTTTGCATCTTTGCAAGACAACCAACAATAAAAACAAACTAAAAGATACTAAACCAAATTAAAAAAAATTAAAAAGATACTAAGAAGGAAAAATTACACATACTACTAAATGTATCTATGGCAAATGGAAGATGGGAAAAATATATATTATTATATATCATTATAAGTATTTTTGACAAAAAAAAAGAATTATAAATATATATATCACGGGCAGGGCAGCATATCATGCCCGCAGCCCTGCCCTGCCCATAATATGCCCAGTCCAAAAATGTCCATTTTTTTTGGGGTATTTTTTTTTTCCGGGCTGGACAGAACCATTTTCTCGCGGGCTAGGACAGCATACCGGGCTAGCGAGTTTGCTGAACACCCCTAACTGCCATCAAATACAATGATTCTTGAAGTCTTGGGAAACAAAAGTCCAATCATTGGAGATTCAATTTTGTACCTCCATCAAACACGAGATTCGAAACGTCAATGGGTCAGGGACAAAGAGACTAAAAGGCCAAGATCTCAGGCTCGGAGGTCAACCTAGGTCTTCGTTTCCTTAAGATTGAATTACTCCTCCGGTCCTTATTATAAGACTCAATTTGACTTTTATTTGGTCCTAATATAAGACCCAATCCATTTTTTCTCTTATATTTATATATTTTTTTCCAAGATAATCCTTCTAATAATGATAGTTTTAGCCAATACTTAATTAGCAAGGATATTTTAAGAATAACAACACTTATTTATTATAATAACCAACTTAACTTACTTCCTTAATTTCCTCAAATAAGTTAATTGGGTCTTATAATTAGGACCGGAGGAGTACATAATTATAATGTCTAGTAATACCACTCACATTCTTTTTAAAGTGACTTCCACCCACTTCACAAAAATTAATTAAAAATAATTTATATCATTAAAATGATAAAAAGTTATTACTACTTTTCAGCATTATCCTCATGCTAAAATCAACCTATCTTAATTACCTTTAATAATTTTAATATAATCTTTCTTTGCAGTAATAAGAGCACATGTGGAAAAAAAATTAAGGCTATTGACCTGTTGTAATGTGACTTATATTTAGGATAATTTTTTTAAAAAAATGACTTATAATAAATATCAGAGTGATACCTTTTTTTACCCCATAACTCTTCACTCTTGTTAAATCAATTTATTTAAAAATTAAAAAAATAAAATTTAGAATCATATACTGAGAAGACAGAAAAAAGATTGCATCAAACTTAAAATACTACCCCTAGTCCTATTTATAAGACTTTGTTTGTAGATTATAAACAAGGTCTTATAATTAGGACTATATGAGCAATCTTAAAAGAAATAATCAACACCCCACTATACGAAAATGTTGGAAGAATATTGCATCATTTGAAATTGCAGTATATTTTGAAGATAAAAATACACGTTAATCATAATATTTTTACTGTATAGTTTCACAAAAGCAATCAAATTCATAAAAAGTTTCCTGAGTTGTCAATATGCTATTTGTTGTCATTTTCTGAATCTTTTCATTATCATAATACTAACTTGTTATAAAAGTTTTTAGTAATTAATTGCTTATAGTGAGTATTTAGTTATTTTTCTTAACAACGACAGCGTTGATACACATGACAATTATATTATTTTCAAACAATTAATAAAGCAAAAATACGAACCAATACCAGCGCTTTGGAATTAACTCTAAAATAATAAATGATATTCTTGTGATTAAAAATTTGGTGAACAGATTTCATTTGTTTCCACTAATTAGTTCTTTTCATAAATTATTGGGATAAGGTCTAATTTTGCTCTAAAAGTTTTTGCTGAGAAACTGTGAATATTCAGAAAACTTTTTAGAATAATGTCGTCTTGGAAGTGTTCAAAACATATTAATGTCACTCTGTTATCATCTAAAGTTAAATTTGACCGTTAAATCTTTTTGTTTGACCAATTTATATATAGGTGGCAAGCTAAGTTGGACAAAGAAGAGTTAAGGTCTATTTTTGTCTTGGAAGTTTTCACGAAATAGCTGTGAGAATCCGAAAGTAATTTTTAGAGCAATGTGGCCTCGGAAGTGATAAAAATGTCGCAATGTCTACCTTTCCTGACAGATCCAAACAGTCAACATTTGTTGACCCAATTATGCTGAGGTGGTGTGACACATGGCATCCTACTCACTTTTTTTCCAACCTATTTCTAACCTGAATTTTTCTTTTTGGGAAAAAAGAAGTGATCCTACCCATCAGCGATCCCTTGACTCAATCTCCCCCTTCATTGCGTCCTCTGCGTCGTTGGAGTTACGCCAATGTCTCCTCCTCCTCCTCTTTCTTCGTCCTTAGCGCTGCTTCCTCTTGAAGCCAGATCTTCTTTCTCCATTGAAGAATTACACGAGCTCTATTTCTTCCCCAAATCTTCCAGGAGTCCTTTTTCATCGTCTTCACTAGTTTATCTTTCAGCAGAAGAACCAACATCCGAGTAAAATGGGTGAGACCCATTGAGATTCTTATTAAGATTGTTGCTGGCAATGGTAGCGTTACACGATGTGCTTCTTTAAAGATGTGCTCAAACAGCCAAGGTTTTTTAGTCAAGTTCTATATAATGCCCAGATCAAAAACCGATCACTCATTGCGAAAAAACATAGAGCAAAGATAGGAAAAACAAAAACGAAAATAAGCACAATCCCATCTAGAAAAGAAAAATTCAAATCTCAGCTTTGTGAGGAAATGAAGCCTTAGTCACAAGTAGCAACAATGATCGAAGTTTTCTTTCCCAAAAAACCAGTGGCAAATCTGTTAGTTTGACGCGAACTAAAGACAGCTATATAATCGCTTTCGGGATTTTCCTAGGCCAGAGACCGTGCATTTTGGACTTCCCACTTCAATAGTCGAAGGATCCTTGCATCATATCTTGTACTTATACTCTTCCGGTCCTTAATATAAGATCAATTTAACTAATTTGATTAGATTAAGAAAGTTAAGTAAGTTAGTTAATTATAAGAAAAGTGATACATTTTTCCTAAAATACCATAATTATCTTTCTTAATACCTCATCTCCCTCTTCTACTTGATTATGGTTGAGAGAGTATATATAAGAGTAATTTAGAGAAAATTAATAAATATAAAAAATGGATATTATATTTAGGACCAAAACCAACTCAATAATTAGGTTCTATATTAAGGACCTGAGGAGTATTATAGTATCAGAAATAAGTATTAATATTCATTTAATTCTTGAGGTTGACGACTGAAACAGAACCACAATCTCCCACGCCATTCTTGGACCCAGCAGCACCACCACATCTTTCTAGAAATCATTCCTCTCGACTCCATATCTAAACCCATGAACCTAAAATCGGCGTTTCTTGAGATCGAAAATGGACTTTTCGCTTGCTGTGATGGTTCTCTTCAACTTCTCGTCAGAGGAGATAACGGTAGCGACGCAGAGAACGCTGGGAGGAGATTTCTTTGATCCTTCACACTCACCCAGCAATTTCAATTTTTTTTTAATTTTTATGATGTGGCATAAAAAAGTGGAATAATAGGTGGCATAATATCCGTGTAGCAGAATCACCTCAGCGTAAATTGTGTCAACAAACGGTGACTGTTTGACTTTGTTGAGGTTGACATTACTACGTTTTTGTCTGACATTGCTACGTTTTTGTCACTTTCAGTGTGACATTGCTCTAAAAAAGCAGCTCCTCTACAAAAATTTTCAGGACAAATTTGCCATTTAACCAAAAAAAAACTCCACTCATCTAAAACCTAAACCCATTTAAGGCTCCACCTTTCTCTCTCTCCAATCTCCCCCCCCCAATTTCACAAGCATACCCAAAAAAAAAAAAAACTCCAACTAGAATGTTAACAATAATATCACATCCTTTGCTCTCTTCCGCTCAAATCAGATTCCCATATCATTAACCTTGGTTAACAATTTGTCTTTATAAACGGATCACCCTTTGCATTTCTTCTTCCCATAATTTAAAGCTACATTGCATTCAGTATTCACCATTGTTCATAGTACTAGGAATATGGGCCAAGCAGGCCTGCACGGCCTTAGTCTTAAAGGAGCCGGCCTTATAGGGCCACAATTCCTGAAATGTCCCATTTTGTTAGATTTGGTTCTTAAGTTGATAGGCTCAAGGTTTGTACGTGGGCTTTCGGCCCGTCTAAAAAAAAAAAACAGAAGAAGAAGCAATTTTTGATATTTTCTACATGTTTTATCAATAAAATGAATATAAAGTAATAAAATTATTAATAAAAAATATAAATATGAATAAAATTAAGTTACAAACCCAAAATATCATTATATCTAAACATTCATCAACATCTAATAATATCTAAAATATCTATCAACAAGACAATAACATTCAAAAGTTTCATCAACAGTGCAAATGTGTAATAGACAAATACTATCATCAATTTTTTAAAACTTTGCCATTACTATCGTCGATTGCTCTTTTTTATGAGAATACTTTTCCTTAGTGACAAAATTGCAGTGTAGCTATTATGTTATCTTAGTTTGAGATATATTATTATTGAAACTCATAAATCTCTAATTCAAATTATAGAATCACAAGTCATATAAATATAAAAATAACCTCTTGTCAAATATATAGAGTTTAAAAATATCAACATATGTAATATAAGTCAAATTATTATTAAAGTCCAAATTAACTCATTTTTAAAAAAATTTAATTGAACAAATTATTATCCAAAACCAAATAAATCAAACCATTTTATGAAATTTAATTTTAAAATGATAAGAATAACTAAATGTTTGAAATATTATTAACAATGTAAACTAATTAATAATATAAGCATTATATAAAAAATAAAAATATATATATATAAGGGCCTAATTAAGCTAGTCCTTGACCTTGTAGGACCGGCTCGTTTAAACCCTTGACTCTATAAGATCAACTCTTTTAAGCTTGTTTTTTATTTGAAGGGAAAAATTTTAAACCCACCTTTCATAATTTTTAGGCCTAAACGGTTTGGTTTATTTTTTTCGGCTGCTTCCCACAAGTTCTGTAGAATCTTTTTTTGTTTTCTCTCTCCTTGCACACTCAAAACACTCACCAATGCCCACAACAAACCCAATCCATGTCCGCCAACCCTAAAGCCCAGTTCGACATCGTCGACGCCGGTGACGATGGATAAATGCTCGAACAATACATTAAAGCTAATGGCCGATGACGTTTTGCTGAACGGAACTGTGGTGAAGAACAGGACGATGATGACGTATCATGTGTACAGAATGAGAAGAATGTAGAAGTTGTGGGGCAGCTGGGTAGAGTATAAGCAGAAGAGATGGTTAGAGAGAGAGTGGAGGAAATAGTGATTCAGAAAAATGGAGGTACGTGGCAAGAGATTGGTGTAGTTATCTGATGTTTCGGGAGGATCAAGAATATGATTAGGGAAGGAAATGTCGTCGTTAAAGATTAAGAATATATTTGGATTGGCGTTGGGCTGACTTTTATAACTTAAGTTAAAATAAAAGTCAGTTAATGTATGTTTGGATAAGTGTTTTTAAAAAGTCAGTTAAAAAAATTAAAAGTTGTTTGGATGATTAATAAAAAAATTAGTTTAGTTGTAAAATAACTGAAAATGACATAAATTTTATTGAATAGTAGTTTTTGAAATTTTATGTTTTTAACATGATAATAATTTAAAAATATATATAAAATTATTATGATAAAATAAAAATAGTTTATTTAGGAAATTATAAAATAAAAAGGTTTGTTACCCAAAAAATTTGGAAAAAATATTATGCTTACACCGGTGCTCTCTTTATTTAATTATGATATTATACAAAATTTATAAAACAAAACCAAGCCATTGATATATAGCCAACCAAAGAGAGAGATTACCGTCTTAGCCGTTCGTTTTAAAACAAAACAATAATTTTATTATTTTAAAACTTTACTTTTCTTCCTGACATGGAGTCATCCCCACTCTCGTTACTCGCAAGATTAGCCCCGCTCAGCCAAACCCAGCCGCTACAGTAGAGAAAGAGAGATCTGTTTTGCTGTGGCCACAATGACGGAGGGAGAACAATAGGCAAGAGCGATGGACGAAAAAGCGCTGGCGAGAGCGACGGGAGGAGAATACCTGCTGAGAGTGAGGGAGGGAGAACCACGGTCGAATCTTTCTATTATGAGAGAGAGCAACAGAAGCACACCTTACAGAGGAGAAGAGCTCGGTCAAAAAGGGGAAAATGTGAGGGGTAAATTTGACAGGTGAAAATTTCAATGCTCATTTAATGCTCATTTAACGGTAGATTGCATTTTCAAATGGTGAAAAGCTGCTTTGCCCAGCGTTAATGTAGAAGTCATTTTCCCCCCATAAGTCGGTTGGTGAAGAAGGCCGTCCAAACAATCAATTAACCCCAAATAAACTACAAACCTCAGTTTCACACTTTCCTATGCGTTTTTACTGTCTCCAACGACAATCCAAACGAGGCCTAAGAGGGCGGTGGCTGCGATTGAATGAGAGAGAAAGGAAAGGGAGATGATGAGAGTAGGGGAAGGAGTGAAAACGTTGAGATGGCGATGAGTTGGATTATGAGTGCCATATTTGAGTCCCAAGTAGGAATTTTAGTCAAACAAAATGGTCAAACTTAACACTCTTTAACAGCAGAACAACATTACTCTGTTTTATATAAACTTTCAGGGTGACATTGTTTCCAAAAAAAATTTCCAAATACTCAGTTCCTCAACTAAAACTTCCAAGACAAAATTGGACCTTATCCCATCATTTCAATCTCTTAAAACTTCCAAATATGATAGTGTAAGTATTATTACGAATTGTATATTGGCATGCTCTCATATGGAATTTGATGATAAATAAAGTTCATGAAGCTAATGGTCTTAGCCTGATGCCATAGAAGCTTTCACTTATAACCTTAGATGATTAGTACTTACTTTTTTAAATAAAAAAATTATGAACGTTAAATCCTTCAAGTTTAATATAGCCACATCACAATTCAGGGCATGTAAATTATACTGCCTTGGTTTTTTTTTTTAATATAAAAACTAGTTTAACATTCAATTTGATTCCAAATATAATACCTAATTCACTATATCTCTTATTATATCTCTTATAATAACTATATATATTAAATGTTTCATTACATAGTGATTTTAACTAATATATATGATTAGCAAAGATATTTTTTTAAAAAAATACTTATTACAAATAACTAATTTAACAAATTTATATTAAAGACTGAAGGTAGTATTATTCATAATTTGCGGATAAATGAATTCTTTACTTCTTATAATGATTAATTGGACAATGGCATGACTCATTCTCCCATCTATTTCAAGGCGCTAATTTGACAAAAATGAGAGCGAGCAGCATGAAGCGGCCAAAATTTCATCTTTTTGCCTTTGGAAGGTTTCCTAATTAATTGGCACAAAAATTTTGATGGCGTTGCGCAATTGAGATGATGGCAGCTATCTACATTTGTAGCAAATCTTGCTCATGCATACACATCAATTAATCTTAGATTACCAAGGAAGCATGTTCAACAAAGAAACTTGCTACGATTATCCTATTGAAAATTTTTTACTTTTCTTTTCCAGCACACCTTCAATTTTCAGGATAACGCCAGAAAGAAAATAGATTTATTAGGGGCATAATATCGAGGAAAAATCGGGGAAAAATTCCTCCAGGTACATTGTATGTATAAAAATATCATGTCCTCATGACCAATTATCTTTTCTAAATAACGAATGCAAGCTAAAATGACCAAGAACCAAACTACAAATATAATGTGCATATAGAACTTGTAAACTATTACCAAAATCAATCACCTTGTAAATTAATCAAAACAAAAATATAAAACTTAAGTTGTCTTGTTTCCCTTGATAAAAGTTCAAGGCAATGATTCGAGTGAGCGCCTATAACCAGAATCTCACCTATTATCGTCGTTTCCCATATTAAGGGGAAACTTGCTCAACAATAGTAGGCATCTGCTCCTCATGCTGTCATTTTATGCTGAATTTGCCTGTGAACGTGGATAAGAAACTCTACGTAGGAGAAGCCACCTGTGCTCTTGTCTTCTACCATATATGAGAAGAAGGACATTCCTGACACATAGAAATTTAGAGATCAGTTAAATAACAAGAAAAATGCAATACAAACCCGAAAGTTTTCTCCTATCTAAAAATTTCCTGTCTCAACTTGTCCGACATAGCAACACAAGTACAGCAAGTGGCTGTATCCATTATCTATAAGCCTCGTTCTCTGATATAGATGGCAAAACCTAACCAGCTCGATGGAATAACAGCCTTTCTGATAGAGCTATCTGTAGAAAAGAGCAACTCCAGTGGATGAGAGAATTATCCTCAGGTCCCTAGCTGTAGGCCAAAAGGAGAGGTATATGAGCAGGGATTAGGTGCAGCTAGGGGTAGGGCAGCGCTATAAATATTCGTCCAGAGAGGGGAGTTCAGTCTTTTGGCTAGTAGAAGTGTGTTTGGGAAAGTTCCGGCCTCTCGAAAGTCCAGCGCCACTGTCTTATGTATTCCTATGTTCTGTTCTGGAGCTGAATTATCATTGTTGTATTTCGCTTTGGGTGCGAGAGATCAGGCTTTTGGCCAAAATCAGATATTTCTCTTGTACTTCTATTCAGTTCTCATCTAATATTAATATCAAAACACCAGTTATTCCCTATTTCTTGCTGTTCACTGTTGTTGTTGCTGTTGCTGTTGTGGATTATGTATCCTGCTAGAGCGCAGGCTCCAACACTTTCCTACTCCCAGTAGGGGTCTTATATTTTCTGTCAAAAAGCTACATTTGAAGGGCTATGCTATAAAAGTCACTTGACTTCAAATAAAGTGAAGCATTGACAAAAGGGATTAAAAAAAAATTCATGTTGTGTTGCATCTTCAGAACTAGCTTTTACATTTTTCTGTTAATACTAAAGAATATAGCTCACATTCAATGGGAACACCTAATGCACTCACCTGACGGGTCTCCTTTTTTGCATAACTTTAACCTGCCAGAAGATTGAAAGCATATTTAAAATTTACTCTTCATTAAGTAATCAGATCATATAAAAGACTATTCAGTCATGATCTAGTGTTATACTAGGCCAACAAAAGAGCCAACTTACCGGAGGTAAGAACATCGCTGCCGCCGTATCTCATTTACCACTTCATTTAATTTCTTTGACAACGGATTGTCAAATTGCTGTAACACAAACTGTTGGGGGTAAAAAAAAAAGTTTAGATGTTAGCCAAAGACTTTACATAGCCAGTTCCAAGTTAAAACGCAGTGCAAGTAATTTGCATACAAGGCTTAGATACTAGCTTTGACAATCACAATATATATGACCTGGGAAAAAAAAAAAAAAACAGATGAACAAATTATAGCCCCTCAGGGATTGGATTTATAAGAGCGAGGGCGTCATTTAACTGTTTGGATCTCATTTAATGCCTGATTGAGTTCAATTCTCTCCCCTAAGCATGGGATGAGCAAGGTGCGAGTAGGGATCCAGAAAACTCATTCCCATTGAACCTTACACCACACAATATATACACTGCATACATTTAAAACAGAATCGAATCTAGCCTAAAAATCAGGGAGAATAATATGAGATCCTATCTATGACTATTTACAGGGAAAAAAAGGAAATAAATAATAGTCTTTTAAAGCTAATAACTATTGGAATTTCCACACAAGCACATTTGTGGTGACTAATATCATTCATATATATATGATGGGGCTCTTGGCCTGAGAGGTAAAGCTAACAGAGCATCTGAAGACTCGTATTATATGAAGGTCTTGTGATATAGAAAATATCTAAGAAAGGCAGTTACTCGTTGAAACCATTAAGGGCAACTGGCCATTAGGGGAGTAGGTAGAGATTAGTGGCAATAAATAAGAGTTCCGATAAAGTGCTTTACTCTGTTTCTCTATCCTCTGTCTCTATTTCTCTGAATCTCATCTCCGTTTCCTATCTCTCTTCTCTCTCTTTCTTTTTCGTCTCCATGTTCTATATCAAGAGGTATCTAGAACCAGGCTGTCCTCAACCCTTGCCCACTACAATTCTCAAACTCTAGCCAACAACCGTGCAATGGAATCGTCAATGGAATGACAGGCCAATTGCAAACATCAGCAAGCAACGTAAAAGAATTAACAACCCACGAACTGAGATGGCCACCACAACCAGCCAAGAAATGATCGTCCTACAAGTGACGAAGGCCTGGACAACCACAACAGGTGCAGTTCACAAAGATGGACTTTCCAAACTTGTCTCGTACAAACATTCTTGCTGGGATCCTTAGATGTGAATGGTACTTCAATTTGGATGGGACTCTAGGGGATGCGAAACTCAAGATGGCCAGTATTAATCTTGACAAAGAAGCCTTCCAGTGGCAGTTATCATGCGAACATCAATGGCAAGGGGTGGCAAGCATTTCATCATTGATGTTCCATCATTTGGACGCATTTGGTTGCAAGCAAAGCCTTTCAATACAATCCTGATCACTATAAAATAACACTCTCCCTTTCTCCCAAAAATTAATGGAATCACCATTCCTCAACCCTTCTTTTTGATATTATCTATCTACTCATCCTCTTCTGTGTTTCCTCTCTCACCAGCTTTCTCCCATCTTCTCTGCCTCCTCCAACACTATCCATTTCTCCCAAAAATTAAGGGAATCACCATTCCCAACCCTCTGTTTTGATATTAACCATTCACTGATCCTCTTCTATCACTGTCAACCTCCATTCCTGAGCCGCCTTCTTCCTCTATCCCATTCTGCTCCATTCCATTCCAATGTCATCCTTTCCGACAGTTTACAAGGGCCCAAGTCTTGTAACAATAACAATGTGATGCAGATCACATTATCTTATCTTCAGTCCAAATCGCATGCAAAGACTTTCATAACCAGTCGCACAAAACAAAATATAAGATTTGGATCACAATTAAGAAGTTCGTTTCAACCCTGTTTACAATCTCAAACCTTTTCCCCTTTTTAAATAGTTCCGAATTACGTCTATAGCAGGCATAGATTCATACGATTAGCCAACAGTTACTTGTTAACCGATTTGAGAATTTGACAGATCACAAATCACAAGACAACGAGAAAGAGAAAAAAAATACTAAAAGGATGAATTTGGAATTACCAGAGTAGGAATTTCATCAACTGTGGCAACACCAAACAGCCTCTGGAGAATATCCGAACTCACAGAGTCTCCAATATATATCAAACAATCATGACCATTTTCAAGAAGATATACTCCCTCATTGCTGATATGTTCACTAGAAAGAGGAAGAAAGGAAGGAATAACAGAGTCATGATCTTCCTGCAAGTCATGAAAAGTTAGTGTTTACTTGTCAGGTCAGAGTGACTCATGATAGGTGTCAAAGAATATCACTGTTACAAAATTTAATAACCCTTCATGAGACAAACAAAATCCAATGATAAATTAGAATCATTAATTATATAGAGTACGCTCTTAATAATTTAAAAATGTAATAAAATTCAATTTCAGCATCACTTTCAAAATGTGATATGCATCAAGTTTTAATCAAGCACATCTTAGTGTGCACTTAACTAATATTTATCACATGAAATTTATATCTTACAAATTTTCGAATGAGTTTACCTTAGAGTCAAGATCATGGATTGCCACCATCCTGGGGTACACAAGTGGTATTGCCAGTGGAGTAGAGAGAGAGGATACATAATTTATCCAGAATGACCGTTCATCAATTTTCCCCTCATTTCGCAAGCCAACACTCTTGCTTAGTGCTGATATAAATGAAAAACAAATTTTAATTTGTGTTGTCCACTAAAAAAATCATATTATCAACATTCTGAATTAGAGTATTGAAACAGACTGATTATCACAAATAAAGAAATTTGAATTAGCTTTGAATATTATCATACTCTCCTCATGTAAATAACCATAACCTAACTCAAAACAGGACTAGAACAAGGAAAAAAGTCAAATAATCAGTTTAGAAAGGAAAAAGGTGAAAATCTATCCGCACATAAATAGTACAAAAACCTGGAAAAACATTTTGGCATGCAAAGAAAATGGAGAAAAGACTATAATTACAAAATAATGAGTTCCAAATGCAAGGAAAAACTAGAATAGATATAGAATATCACTAGCTGCATAGAAATTTTTAACCCAAAAAAAAAAATTGTTAACAGAATGGTAAAAATCCCACACATACCCAGCGTGTACAGGGGTAGAAGCTTTAGTGCCTCTGGAAGAATAAGTTGTCCCGATGATGACACAGTAGCACAGAATTTACGATATGAAAATAGTGCATTGATGCATAGATTTGTCACTTGTTCTCGGACTAGCAGGAGTGGCTTCGAAGGAATTTCACTGGCAGCTATACAAGAAAAATGAGGGAAAGTCTTAAGATTCTTCTCCTTTAGTCTTACAAGAATCCACATGTTAGGAAACGTACAATGACAATTAGAGGGAGACATGACATACCTTGCTTCAAGAAACAACAAAATTGAGTGTCTAAGTCAGCCGCACGGAATAGATTGCTTAGCATGCTAGTTACAGGCAGGGATAAGGTTACAACACGAATTCTTCTTTGGCCATACAAAGTTGTGTAAAGAAGAGCACACTGAGCGATTAAAAGCAACAAAATAATCAGAAAACAAGAAACAAAAGCCATTTATTTAAAGAAAATTAATAATTACCATTAATAATTGAATGTGAACCTGAACATCATAACCTCCTCGGAATTAAGCAGTAAAATAGTTTAATACCTGAAAAGCACATTCTGATCCATCCTGCAACTTATCATCATGTTTCAGGGTTACCATAAAAGTCTTGTCACAGTCAATCTGCAGAACAGAAAATTTAGGTAATTGGCTGAGCATGCCATAGACCAATAGAAATGCGATAAAAACGAAAATTAACTATAACATAACCCTAGGAACTAAATCAAAACTACTAACTAATATAATGAGAGAAGAGATTGACGTATCCAACATAACAAAATAAAAACTATTGAAAAATAGCTATAATTAAAACATGCTGAAGTAGCTGTCAAATGAAAAAATAGGATGTCATCAGCCAAAAAAAAGAAAAAGAAAAAAAGAAAAAAAAGAAAATGTAAATCGAGGAGACTAAATGGGATTTTCATGCATGCATTTCTAATTCACAAAAATTCAAGTATATACAAGTCCTCAAGGAATAAAAGAGGAAATAAACCCATAAAGGAAATAATCTCTATATTTAATATAGTAAAATCCCATAATACATGGGATACAAATAAAAACCATATAAATCACAGGATATGAAGCATGTTTTCCACATATAAAGTAATATTTAACATAAAATTAATCCAAAACTTAACCAGTGAGATGGTCAAATGATACATGGTATGGTAGAGGCCTAAAATTGCAATGGCTAAAATATTAATTCACATCCTTGCAATGTCATAAGCTGCTCCCCTGTTTATATGAGAGATGTGCAAAGCTGATTCCCCAGATGCCCTTTAACCAAATACACGATAAATACCCTAAATACTCCTAATTCCTGCATAACACCTGTATTATCCAGTGTTGGCTAAGCTAGATATGCATTTCCCAAAACATCAGGTGATGGAAATGAGGCACAAGATTCTTTGCAGCCAGAGTAGACACAAGAAATATTAATTTTAAAATTAAAAACCATAAATCATAAATTAGGAATATTTGGATTCATTCGGCAAGCATGCCGACCTCTAATTGAAGTTAACTTTTAATGACATCACTGCAATTGGATTTTCAAGGTCAGATTAAATGAAGAAATTCCACACTAGAACCCTTCAAAGTGGTAGGCAAAGTAATGTCTTTATGCATAATCAATACATAATTTTTTTTGAAAATGCATAATTAATACATATATCCCAAAATATTTATAAACTGAAACTAAGAAGCTCTGTCCCAGCCGGTACAGTTTTGACTTGCAAGGATTGTGATTAGGAGTTTACAAAAAATTGTTCATGGTTTCTCACCTGCTCTCTATGTCAGCAGTATATAATAGCACAAACTGCTGATAAATCTCAATAATCCATCAGTGCAAATACATCCATAAGCACAAAAAATATTTCAAACTTCTGCATATTCACAAACATGCATATAATTATATGTAGCATCTAGAAAATGATACAAACCCCAGCTAGGTCAACATCAGTTGGAATGCGTTTACAAAAATTGCCATAGTATTCCTGTACTTGGATACCCTGTAAAAGGTAAAGAGAAAATTGTAGATTCAATTCACGTCTAATGAGAATGTAATAAGACTAGCGAGATGCTTCCCAGATTACCTGGCTACATCTGACACGCATTACAGCCTCAAAACCTTGTGGCCTAGTGATGTTCCATCTTAGATCATTGTAAAGTTTGGCAGGATCAGCAAGAGCTGAGAATGGGTAATAGTAATAGACCTGGAAAAGGGTGAGAAGTTCATGATTTCAAAGCTGAAATACAGAGCAATTAATGATAAAATTTGAAACTCTACAGCATATAGGAAGTATTCTCTGTAGAATGCCTTAAGAAAGAAAAATCTAAAGTCTCAACTTAATAGGTGAATATGACTAATTGAAACATAATTAATAATTTCCTTCTCACATGAAGGATGGGTTGTTGCTATGAAAGCATAAAAAATATATTCTACAAGTTATTTTAAAAAAAAAAGGAAAGAAGAAATAAGCAAACGACTAATTCCTGCTTTATATGCTTAGTTAACACTTCTTTCTTCAGATGCAATAACTGCTTGCGTTAGAACATTCTTCTCATTTTATCACCAAAAAATAAAAAGGAACATTCTTCTCAGTTCCTTTCAATTCCCCCCGCCCAAAAAAAAAAGCAGCATTTTTGTACTGCGTCATTTTTCCAGCCACATTTCCTCTCTCCACATAAAAAAAATAAAAGGTGAAAATGGGCGCTTACAAGTGTGGAAGCTTATCATAGAACAGCACCATATGCATAACGCAAACTTGAAGAACAGAGCCTACTCACACTTAAGCATCACCAGCTTTTTGGGACATGTTTTATGTAGTATTTTTTTTTTTTTTAAAAAAATGCCCCAGAAACTATGCCATGCTTTGATCATCACCACAAAGATCTGATCCATTTCATGTTAAAATAATATTTTCCCCTCTTCTTAGAACAAGCACCAAGGCTGGCAGGTTCAAGGCATCAATATGAATCTGATACGATGGTTAATTATGTGATAGCAAAAAGAAAAAAAATAGTAATATAGCAACTACCCTTCCGTGTATAAAAGGAAACAGGAGTGTTCTGTAGTGTTAGAATTCTGCTGTAATGCAAATCTGAAGTCTATGTTTTCTCTCTTCTAAACTCTGTCTGCTTGTCTGTCTGTCTGTCTCTCCGTCCGTCCGTCTAACTATCTCCCTTCTAATCTTCTATTTGCCCTTTCTACCTTCTCCACAACAGTGGTAGCAGAGCTATCAGCCAATAATTGCATATTGGATGGAGCAATACAGAGTCAATGTTGGAAGTGGGCTGTCATCACTGGGCCCAAATAAGAACTAACCCTAGTTTACTGTCACAACAGTCAAGCTAGGATCACTATCTTAATTAGTTCTTATCTTCCTTATTCTTAGGGATCCTAGGATTATTATTTCCTGTTTCATTTTTCTGATTATCATTGAGGAAGATCTCCCACGATTCTGTATGATCTCTCGTTCCCTATATGTACACTGTTTCTCATCACGAATAAATATACATTCAGCGCACCACACTGTCAGTCAAGAATAGAGAAAAAGCTGTCAGATATCCAAGAATTGGAAGCAGGGACGTCAATGTCATGACAAATTAGCCAGCTCATGGCATCAATGGAATCAATTGGAAAAGGTATCAGGCTTTCAAGAATAGTGAAGGAGCTTCCGAAATCTTATCAAGAAGATGTTCTTGGCTGGATTACAAGGAGATGTATACACGAGCAAGCAAAGGATGATTAAGATCAGCATATGAAGATACAATGCAAGATTGGATGCAGCTTAGACAAAATGAAAGGGGTACACGAAGCTTTGACTTTCTTTCTTGTCAAATAAGGTCCATGAAAAATCAATTGGTTGATTGTTTTGCAGCTGGATTGAAGGAAGATATAGCCACAAATGTAAGATTATTCAGGCAATGAACATGGTTGAAACACAGAACATTGCAAACCTCCAAGATGCACCTTTTATTCATCAACTACAGGTGGGGGGAAAACCACAGAAAATACCAGTAACCCCTCTTGTGCCCCTCTATTACATAGCCTAGCTCTGATACCACTGATGCAGGTAGAAGGGTAACAATGAAGAGAGAGAAGAGAGAGATATATGGGCTTTGGAGCCATCCCAAACTGACTTCTAGGCATGAAAAGCACTTTAGACTCAAGTTGGATGAAAAAGTAGTGTTTGGCATGGCTTCAAGGGCAATTGACTTTTTGCCCGAAAGCCACTTTTAAGTTGAAGAAAACTTTTTTCTGGCTTTTGGTTTTTGACTTCTCAAACTCGAACATTCTGAAACTGATTTTTCAATATATCATCGAAACAAGCTTATTTCAAACTGATTTTTTTTAAATGAAAAATTATCCAAACATAACTTATGTTATACTAATTGACTTTTGTCCTAACTTCAGTTTGCAAAAGTCAAATGGAATAAAAATTGCTTTTGCCAACACTGGTCCAGACAAGGCCCTAGAAGGCAGAGAGAGAAACAGAGAATTCAGTACTGGGTTCATCTGATAACAAACAAAAGCATAGCATAATCAGAGTCCAATCCTTTTTATTTATACTGCTCTAAGGCCTAACAGTCAAATCACATATGCCTAAATCATAACTATAATAACTAACTAACTAACTCCTACTCCCTTGTATATTTACATGATAGAGATACTTGAGGAAGAGACAAAAAGGAGTCGAAGCAGAGAAAAGTGAAGTGAATGCTTTGATCATTACTTTCATTGATACAAGAGTTTACATTTATGTTATGCAATAAAGCTCAGCAATAGTCAGACTCAGGGCCCAGTCGTCTAGGGTTGGGGAAAAAAGTGATTTTGGTGAATTAAACACGGGGGAGTTGTTAGAAGAACCTCCCAACAACTCCCTCATTTGTAGACCAACTATAATCACCTTTTAAAAAAAGGGGGGGGGTAATATAATCTTTAGTCCCTCAAATTTGCCCTCATTTTGGTTTTAGTCCCTCAAGGGGCAAAATGGTCCAAGTTTTTATTGGATTATAGGAACTAATATTTTAAATGTAAAAAAACTTGAGGGACCAAAACCAACATGAGACTAAACTTGAAGGCTGTATTAACCCAAAAAAAATTTAACAAACTGACCCCTAGTCAAACTAGCTGCAAGTGTTAAACTGATCACATCAACCTAATTCATTCAGCCAAACTTATTCTGACAGAGGGAATGTTAGTAAGTTATATGGCCATTGCCCTATTGTGTATAAAAGGCAAGGGGTGTCCTCTGTAGGGTCATAATCCTGGTCTGAAGTTTCAAAATTTCCCTCCTACTCCCTTCCTGTCTTCTATCCATCTCTCTCTTTCCCTCATTCTCTTCTATTTATCCTCTCCATGTTCTTCACAACACGATCACACAGAAACAAAAGCCAGAAATACAATGTATACCTGTCCGCCAGTAGTTCTTGGGATGACAGATACGGAAGCAATGTCTACGTAATTCTGGGTAGTGAGAAATACATCAACACAGACCTACAACATAAGGAAACGATCGTAATTGGCACATCTTCATCATGCTTGTCGTTAAATGCTCACAGGCCATAATCAGAACCAGCATAAAAGGAAAAAAGAACCTCGAATCACCTGATATTCAGCAAATTCAATTGCCAGTTCCTTGAATGCTTTGTCTGCTGGTTGAAGCAATTTATGAGCCTCCTAAAGTTCAACAAGATCAATAATGTGAGAGAGATTAATAAACCAGTCATGAGCCTTCATTCAATGACTTAAACTTTTGGGTTAAATGCTCCTTCATAGGGTGCAAGGGCCTTTACAACCAAGTGATACTCTGGCATAGTTTCACAGGCAAGCAGTCTGGTACTTGCTGCGCCCTTTCTACTAATTTACAATGAAACTGAGCATAAGGAATGGAGGTCTCATTTTATTCAAACTTCAAAGCCCAAAGGGTTTCCATGTGAAGAGGCAAGTTAGATACTAATAAAACCCTTTTAGAGAGATTTCCATTAACAATCAAACACCAATAAAAAATTGATATGGATACCTTTTCCCCTGCAGAGGTATTTGTTCTACCCTCAGCCTCCCTAGCAGAGAGGGCTCCAATGCCTAGTGATGGCAAGACTGAAAACAACAGAACACAATCATGAGGAACATTGAATGAGCGCAGTGATGAATCAAACAATAAAACAAAGAGCAATTACAGAGAAGACAAGGGGCCAAATAAATAAACAGAAAGAGGAACATTTCCTTCATTCTCCTCTCATGTCTTCAATTCCTCAAAAGGCGTACGGTTATACAGTTTTTATTCACAATGATGGTGGTGGAAAATCTGACCCACAGTCTACAAAGCATATGCCTTTGGAGTATTCACCCACTCAAAAGAGTTAAGAATGCATTCCCCTAGTACCTGAAGATATTATGTGACCATGAATTCTTCCTTCTTTGAGGATCAGCCATATTACCCCAAATTATCCATTCAAGGGAAGAACACAGAAGTTGATGGGTAATTCCACACCATACTGAACCTAATCATTATTAGCTCTTGATTTTTGTTCTGTTTTCTTTCTATTAGATTATGCTAATTTCTTGTTCCTTTATTGTCAGTGAGTAGCTGGGAATGTGGCTACCATCTATTTGTATATTGCTGTCCCTTCTCTTTTGAATTATATAGAGGATCTGAAAAATTCACTACCAAAATAATCATCAAATATCAATAAATGAAGAAATGCAAAAGCTACCAAGCTCACCTGACTGAAAAACCAAAAGCTTCCCTCCACTTCCCTTCATTGCCAAAAAAGCTGCCTAAATGAAGACAACTATGGTATAAGCATCAAATTGTTAACTTACGTGCCTAGACATTGCCACATTGAAAATCCAAAGGCAAAATGCAAAAAAGATGAATGTAAACAGCTGCATAGCATGACCAACCCCTTCAATCCCATTGCATATCAAATGAAAGAAAACTCCATTATACATTGGATTAGCACTGCCCATAGAATTGCTCAAGTCATCGAAGTTTAATAATTCTACGGACAGGAAAACCACACTATTTACATCGTTGCTTACTTATGGCCTTTTTTCAAATGACCTATTTAACCGTTAAGAAAATTAATCAGAGTTTATTATATGGAAAATAATATTTAACAAAATTCAACTTCTTTAGAGACATAGTATGAATGGTATTTCTTTTGCCAGTAAGCTCAGGTGCGAACAACTAATGAGATGTTTACTAGATGAACAGTATAAAATAAGCAACACACATGCTTATTACACTTATCCCTACTTGGAAAGAAGCTTTGTTCTTCAACCCAAAAAGGGATATTTACCACATCATGCTTGCATGGATGCCTATGTTCACATAGAGCAGGAAAAAAATTATTGAAATCATGTATCACTGTGCCATCTATATCTACTGGAGCACCCATTGGCCAAATAAGAGCACAGTAATGTTGCAAAAGTCAGTGACAGGTCAATATATCTGCACGAGCAAACTGAGAAGCAATTACTTCAAACAAGATGCCATACCTTGATTGCAGCACCAAAGGCTGACTCAGAGGTCATGTTATTATGAAACATGGAAGGAATGCTTTCCAGAAGTAATTCTAAGTGTTGACGGCACTAAAAACATGAAAAGCAACCCAATTTAGTGACGTAAAATAAATATGGCTAAATCGTGAATAAGAGATATAAGATATTAAACATCAATCCATCTAATAAAATTCTACCAGAAAAGGCTGAAACTCACCTCAGCTAGTGGAACAATAACATCAGTTTCCAAAGGAGTATAAACATCTTGTACATCAGGAACAATGAGCATCAATGGCTACAGATGTGTCAAATTTAAAAATCAATCTGAGACTCAAACTAATTGTAAACATATAAAGTTAACTAGCTATCAAAGAATAGATCTGATAACCCTCAACTCATTAGAAAAATTCAATGCTGAAAATAACAAACATTGAATGTAAATAAGTAAAACAGAAAACAAGTTCATCCTGCACTAAAAAATACAAAATATATAAATAATGCAGGATAACGATGGAAACGTTTGAATGCAGAAAAATGCAACACTCAAGTTCAATTTTATCTGATCAGTGACCAACCCCCCCCCCCCAAAAAAAAAAAAAAAAAAAAACCACAACCACCACCTTCATCCAGACATAGGTTTTAAATATCCTCTTGATAAAGCATAGTATTGAATTGAATTGGAAACACAAATTTACAAATTTAAAATACTAAATAAAATCAAGCATTTGCAATTTGTACATATTTTTTAGTTTCTACCTGCTGCAAAGCACGTTTTAGGCTGTAAAAATGGATTGTAGAGTCAAATGTTGCAACTCCCACCATTGTGCGTGGGCCTTCCTGAATTAACAACACCAATGATCGTTAGGAAATGTACTTTGCCTTTCATATATGCATGTAAAAGAAAGTATGTAATGAGACATGATAAGCAGAAATCCCAAAGCCTCCAAAGTAAAATATCAGACAGCTTCCAGATGAGCAAGATAAACTAGAAGCGATTAAAATCTGTCTGTGCAGTACTAGATTTGCAAACGGAAAACAAAGTCCAAGGTTCTCTCTTTTCCTTTTGAGGTTTTATTTTTTTAAAAAAAAGAACGGAGTACCCAAAAAATGGAGGATAAGAAAACATGACTTGAATGCAACCATTATAACCAGAAAAACAAAAACATTTTAAACCCTCAATGAACAAAACAGTAGAGAAAAGAAGTTCAGTTTCATAGCATGTAAGGAATGACTGATTTCCACCAAGGTGGGGCCAATTGAAGGAGACTATGATAGTATGGGACGCCTAGGTCCCACATTGAGCAGAGTGGGGCGCTATGTGTATTTAAGTGGCTCTCCCACCTCAATAACTAGTCTTTGGAGATGGGTTACCGATCCTTCTTGAGTTAGCTATCATGATAAGAATAATAGTTTCCCAAGTCTCTATAATTTGTTCATCTTGATCAGAAATAGATTTACTGGGCCACAAAATACATTGATTGTGCTTATCCGCCACAAGCACAGGGAACTTTGTAAACAAATCAATGATCCAATTCATATTTTTCTTTCTTTTAATTAATGTACATAAATAATGAGCCAGAGGCATCGAGTCTTGGGTGGGATGAAGACTGGTCAAAAAGATAATGGCAAGTTTGCCATCTACTCCTGCTCACCAGCATTTGTAAGAATAGCATGAACATGCGATGCATAGCTATGGCATAAGTTTCCATATGATGACTGATTTTAAGGGTTTATACAATCAATAAAACAGAGATAAGAAAGCCACTGCTCACAAGAATAGAAATTCAAAGCCTGTTAGAAAATGGAAAATGTCAAGCAAACATTGTGAAACTAAGGTTTTCCTCCCTTAGCAAATCAAGAACAAATTTAACCAAGCCAAAATAGTGACTTCACAAGTTGTCAAATACCATGTGAACTAATTAAACCATGGTTAAATTGGATGACATGCAAACAGCCACATATGATCATTTAAAACTTAAAAAAAGTAGTGAACGTATTCGAATTCTTCTTAGTATTTCAAATGAATAGACACAGCATATATATAGATCATGGCCACCAATCAGCCAACAGTCCCATGTGACAACGCAATAAAGCTACAAAGAACACAAGAAAATACACAATCACAGAACTGCCAAGGAATCCAAAAAAATTGTTATAAATATCTTGATTGGATTCAGCACAGAGGACTCACAGGAAGATCAGTGATAACTTGACTGATTGCACTGCAAGCAGCAGCTGTTGCCCCAGTTTGCACAGCGTTCATGGACACATCAATGAGGAAAAAATACACAGCTGGCATTGGCTCACGAACCTACAAAAAAAATGGAATGAATCATATGGCACTCATCATAGACACCTTTTCTCCAATACAAGGAATGGCCCCAGTTGTACTATGTCCCACTTCCATACAAAGATAAATACAGTTTCTTGTCTATACCTGATTAATCAAAAGAGAATAAAAAATAGACTAATGTCTACCTATAGAGATTTATGCATAATGCAGTATTTGTGACAAGTCAGCAACACTAAATTATTCAATGAAAGAAAAATGTAAATTGAGAAGGAAAATATAACAAAAGTTGAGGATAGAGAATCCTTCAACATTGTAAAGACTAAAATCAGAACACATCAATGTAAAATAAAAAACGAAGAAGGCTAAGATGTACAACAGAGCTATCATCCCACTGCACATCCAAGATAGGCACCCAGCAACAATAAATGAAGAGCTGGGTTTTCTTTACAAAAACTGCCTATAAAAAAGCAAAACTCCAAATAGGTTTTTTGGTCTTTTAAATCATTGAATTAAAATACTTTTAAAATCATCTAACAAACAGGTCCACAGATCTTAAATATATTTCTGTTTTCAGTTTTTACAATAAATTTAGATTTTTTCCCCGGTTAAGAGTGGTAAGCAGAAGCTTGGAAAAGTTACAGCAAAACCAACAATTACGGTAAGCTGAGTTATCAATTAACAGTAAATCTAAGCATCCTGGAGGACCGTCAGAGAACAGAACAGTTACTTGTCCGCCGGCATGGCTTGATTTGACCATGAAATCTTTTCACATTTAATTAGAATATAGATAAGGAAAAAAAATAAGTTCTCATGTCCCAACACAGTTTCTAATTGTTTTGGAAACCATGATCTCATAGAAGAGTTACTAAACTCTCAAGTTTGCACGAGTCCACAGCACCTCAATCTATCCCTTAAACCCATCCCGTTGCATACAAGCCATTCTTTCCCAGCCTGCTTCTACGACAAGCCTTTGACCCATCAGTTCATTGCCATATATCCACAAACAAACGCCAAACCATAATTTTCTTATTGTCCTACACAAATTCAAACGTGGTCTAACCAACAGGCTTTTATTGTGATTTCTCCCAGTGCAGCTGCTTATCTACTTAATTTCATCACAAAACCCATAAAAGTGAAACAAAAGTACATTTCTTAATCTTGTCAGTTGTAAGATACCAAATTTTAAAGAAAATCGATTAGAAGTACATATTCTAATTAATCAATAAATTCTATTGACTAAAAGCCTACTTTTACCTAACCTTCCACAAGGTAAGAAGTTGATAAGAAATCATATTAAAAGAGAAGATGGCAGAAATCACTGAGAAGAAGGAATCCTCAAACAACAAAGTACAAACACAGAACAAACCAACAAAAGCCCCAATAAGCTAATTACATCATTAGATACATTGGATGTATTCAGCTTTCAGATTTCTATGTTCTTCATATTGCCTCTATCATCTATGTTATTGTTTGACAGAAATAATAAATCCCCATTGCAGCCTTTTAAAAAAGTAATTGCGCCTGAAAGATCATGCCCCCTACATAGGTAGTCAAAATTGCTTGCCTACTACCATAAATGTTTCCTTCAACTTGGATGCTAATAGGCCTGAAGCTATTGGATGTGAAATGATGGTGATCAACATGAAGGTGGTACAGAGAAGAAAATAAAGTGGCTCCAGATGCTGAAATTTGCAATAATGAAGCATGTAGAGGGGTAGAAAGGTGTTGTGATCAACCCATCTCCACCTTTCAATCTAGAGAGTGTTTGCTTCTTGGCTCTCTCTCTCTCTCCCTCTTTTTTTTATTTTTTATTTTTGGCTCAAACACAGATGACAACATTCATAAATCAGGCATTTTACAAAACAGGGCATAGAGAGCTGTGCGCATAGTTTGCAGGACAATCAGCACGAAAATTTGCTTCTCTATAACAATGACTTGAATCAGCAGCTCGCTTCAACTTAAAATACTTCTGATATCTTCTTACATGTTCAATAGAGGGCAAAAGCAGTTACACCCGACTAAGAAAATTCACAACCTCTGAATTTACCGTCGCCCTAGCTTTTCCTATTTCATATTCACAACCACTGCTGGCTTAATTGTCAATGGCTTTGTGACCTAGGGGGTGTTTGGCATCAAGTAAGAGCACTTCAAAAAAGTGCTTTCACGGAAACCAAGACAAAACTTCTCACATACTTACTTCATATACCGTAAAATTACTTTTAAAACCATTATTTGATTTTCACCCAAGAACGCTCCTGGTGGCATAAAAGCTCACCTGTGAGTGGGTCACAAATTCAATCCTACTTGTAACCTCAGACCCTGTCATATAGTTGTTGCCTGTTTCTGCAAGTGTTGAGGATCTTATTTTGCTAATATGAACGTACAAAAGGATTCCTCTATTGTGCTTTTATTATCCAATAACATTTCAGTTCTCATGAGTATTCTGTGGGCTTCCATTAGATACATAACCACTTGTACCCAAAAAACAAAAAGAAAGAAAGAAGCCCAATGGGCCTTCTACAACTAGCTCAATGGTAAGGATGGAGTAGGATGTGAATAGTAGTTTAAAGCCCAAACCCTCCTAATATAAAAAAAAAGAAAAACATTAATAAATTATTCATGCAGCAAATTTTTTAGGCAACACAATAGGAAGAAATATAAGATTTCAATCGATATTGTAGGTTCTGACCAATAAAGACCGGATGATAGTCAAAATCAAAATTCGAACTAAGGCTGCATACATAAATGCTCAAAGTTGAGTAAACTGTTAGTCTTAGAGAATTACTATTTCACATGCCTTGGACAACATACTTGGCAACAAAATTTCAAAGGAAGATTTAAATGGAATCGGGAAAAACTATGAGCCACAAGTTCTAATTCCAATACTCAAATGTCATGGTTTCACTTAATCGTAAACTGTTAGGTGACATTCAATTATCTAAAATGTAAATGAATCAAATGTGCTGCATGCAATCAACATTCATCTACAACTCAATATCCTTCAAAAGATAAACAGCCGATATAAATGAGGCTAAAAGAACTGATAGAAACAATAAACTCTTAAAAGGCATATTTGCAAGCCTGCATATTCCAAATATACCAACCATGAACTCCTTTGTGGCAACAAATTCAACTGTTCCTCTACACAATTCAGGCCTTTCATCAGCATCCCTACGTCGACCATCTGGACCTAGATTGCAATGGTAGTCACGTGGAGTTTCATCAGTAAATCCTGTAAAACAGATGACAAGTCAGATCCACAGTTTGAACACATGACAAAGCTAAACATAGAAGGATCCCATAATACAAAAACCAAGAGATATCAAAATTATAAGGATCACTTGTAAATAAAACAGTCACAAGTTTTATAAAGTTGAGACAGTTTACTTATGTCATAAAAATCATTGTCTTCACCAAGCTATAAATTATGTGATAAACACAACTTGAGATTTAAGTTAAACATTTAAATTTACCATCAGGCAATAGGAATGGGAATGGGAATGGCAATAAGGTTTGATGAAAGGAGATAATTATGTCTGATATGTCATAGTAAGGAACGGACATTTGTTTTTGGTTGGACAATAATGCCATTATTAGACAAAATATATTAACACACTTGTTATAATTCTTCAATTATTAAAAAATCATTTTTACATCTATTAACAATTAATTTAATGAAAATAGTAAAAATATTTTTAGTATAATTCTTCAATTATTAAAAAATCATTTTCACATCTATTAACAATTAATTTAATGAAAATAGTAAAAATATTTTTAGTAATATAATTTATTTCAAAAATCTCATATAGACCATATTTTTAACAATATTACATTTTTTGTATAATATAAATGGTGTGCCGACCCCACCTAGCCCCACACCTAGTGCATGAGCATGCTAGGCAAATTGCACTGGTGGAAGCCTGTGTAATTTTGAGGACATAAGCTACTTTGTCTACTCACAATCCATTCCTAGAATAGTCAACTATTCCATTGACCATGTAATGGAATCCTTATTTCCACTCTTGGAATCTCCATTCCAATGGGAATGGAATGTCATCCCTTTACCTTGAACCACACATGCTGCGATAGGATTCCTGGTCCCTTTCCTTTCTCCACAGTAAACTTTCCATCAACTAAACATGGCACACGGGAAAAGAAACTACTCAATAACATGAGTAATGCAATAGTACATATAAATTGCACTCACCACACAAGTTGCAGATGAAACGCCTTCCCTGATCAACAAATTTCATGAAAGGATTTATGTAGGCCTTGCAACGCGAGCAGCGGACAGGACCACTCTCCCCAAAATCCACAACCTATAAGACGGTGGGGTGATAAGATAGCAGATGCATTTATCTAGATTTACATTAATTCCTCAATAAGGGGACATGTTAGAAATAGAACAACCTAATTAAATGACCTTAACAATAAGCCTGTTACTAGCAGACTAACTAATTCAACAACTAACGATATACACCTGACCCCTGATTATCATTATTTTCTCCATATGAACATTATTTCCAAGTAAAGACATTAGATGAATTTCTCCATCATTCTTTTTCACTCTTGCACTATTTTTATCCAACCAAGATACAATTAGAATGACATTCCTATTCATTTCCATATCATACTAAATATAATTATTTTGTGCCATTTACACCTCTATGCACCTCAATTATCATGCCTTGCAATTTTGTACATCAAACAAGGAATAATGCATTCTGTCAAATAGGAGGAAGCAAAGCAAGCTACAACTTGAACAAAAAGTTCAAGAGGGGCTAGTTGATACACTTTTCGCAATCAATAGACTGACTACCTTGGTAGAAGTTCAAGCAAATATGTCATTAAACAGAAAGCAGACCATCGAACATATGACATGGTTATAACAATCTCCTGACTATTTATTAACTTTGTCAAGATGACAATGCTTTGTGGAATGTATCCAAATAAACTACAGTATTCGTACTCCAAAAATTTGATAACAAAATGTAATCTGAATGCAAATCACTAGAACCAATCAACTAAAATTCAACATTGCAAAAACATAGCCAAAAGATCTACCTCTTCAATTAAAATATGATGAGACAGAGACACTACTAATTTGTCCTTTTAATTAAATTTAATAATGATAACAGATGAAAATACTTCTAATATAGGAACATTAGGCATTACTTGGACGGGTTCCTCAGAGGGGTGAGGAAGGGCCAAAGGCTGGACTAACAATGCCAATTGCATTCCTGATGTTGCCAAAAGGTCAGCAGTGAAGGGAATCTGCTACATTCACCAAAGAGAACAAAGGAAACAAAACAAATCAATATGGCATATGAAAATTCTAACATTTTCAGAACTTTGAGAATCAACTCCATGAAGACTATTGTAAAGCTAAAAACTTCTCAAATAAAGGAAGAACATATCAGAGAGAGACAATAATACAATAGCAGGAAACAAGACATACTGTCAAGCAAAAATAAATAATAAAATAAAACTACATAAAGCATAATAGCAAAATTGCAACAATGCCATCCAGTATCCACGAAAGTAAACATTAGCTAAGCACCACAAAGATACCATAGGTACAACTCCATCCAAAAAAGTGGCAAAGGCAAGAAAATGGGCTTGAAGATCCCAGAATTTAGTATTTTTACTTTAAACCTGACCTGATTAATTGTGCACCTCATGTAACGGGGACTGCAATTCCCTGTATCTCTTGCAATGTAATCACTTGTGGCAGGCTGGACCACATAAGGAAAAGAAATCATGAGAACAGGCAACATTAGGAGACTAATATAACATGTTGTGATTACATTGCTTGTGAAAATACACATTTTAAATTTAAAAAAGGAAATTAGAGAACCATGACGGTATTAAAAGAAAGAAGGTTAAAAAGTAAGGATAATACGGACAAAGAAAATGCAGGTAAATTTGGCAGCAAGACACTCAAAAAGAATTTTCAGATGAATACCGGAGGAATGGTTGCCTGGTTGCCTTGACGAGTTTCATGCAATATCACTGAGGAACTTGGAGTGGGCCTAGGAATCTGATTGGGGTCAATTTTTGATGGCCCTGCCACAGGGGCTCCTGTTTGACCAACTGCAGGTGAGATGGTAGTTGTCATAGATTGATTTGGCAGTGGAGGTGGCATCCCAAACATCTGAGAAGTTTGTGGAGGGCCAGGAACTGGAGGTGGTGCCACCTATTGAATTCAAAAAAAAAGAATTCAGATTGTTTTTCAATTAGATTAATAAAAGCACGCAAGCAAAGATCAAAACAATTTTAGACTTGATCGATATGGTAGGATACTACAACAAACAACAAAACACACAAATAGGAAACATTGGTAAGTATTCATATCAAAAGTAGGCATGAGCATTGGTTGGGTTTGACACAAAGTTCAACCCCACTGACCAATAGGCAGGGCTGCCTGGTGTACAAAGCTCACACCATGGACAGGGTCCACGGAGGATCCAACACCACTGACAAGTAAGGTTGCACAAATTATACTTATCAAGATCATGAAAGTCCAGTTTCAGAACGTAGACCCAATTACCTGAACAAAACTCTCATCTGCATAAAGCCATAAACCCTTTCATTCAGTCAGGATTGAATGGATTGCTAGGCTATGCCCAACCCGTATGAAAAGTTTAACATAACTGGAATATCCATTCATCTGTTTAAATAGGATGCTAATTTTCTTAAACACCATATGGGAATCACGGCTTAATTTACAACAGTTACTTGAGACACACATCAGAGAATCGGCGAGTTTTGAAACTTCAGATGAGATAGGAACTCAATATCAGATTGAGGTAGCATATCAGATAGTAAAGAAACATAGGCACGTTGAGCCAGATGCATAGTGGAAATATTTTAGACACGAAGAAAAGATCAACATTGTTTCAAACAATAAAGCATATATATAATCACAAAAAGAGAGCAGGCAGAAGATTAGAAGCTTCTCTCGTAAATACAATTGAAAATTAGAAATTAATAATTTCTAGACAGAATACAAATAAAAAAACTATAAATCATTTAATACATCAGAGAAGTTTCTCCAAGCAATCGTTGAAAAATTTAGGTTGTAATTTATCATGAAAAAAATACTATGCGGATATGAATTAGAGATACCTGCTGGGGCTGCATCTGCCAAGAAGGTACCCCAAAAGGCGAGCCTGAAGGCGGCATTGTTCCTTGAGGGGCACTCGAAGATGGCAGCTGAGATTGCAGTGCAGGGCTAGGAGGAGGTCTGACCATGGGAGGTCCAACAGGCAGTTGTGAAGCACTGTTAATTGCAGGAAATTGGGCACGAGCTGACAAGGCCCCAGAAGAAAATGCTGGCGGCCCGTTGCTCATCACATTACCTGATGCGCTTGGTGGAGGCATGACCTGGGGGCCACTCAATGGAGCAGAAGTAAATGCATTAGGACGAGCACCTGGAGTTGATAGTGGAGGCCCGGCGGGATGGGTTGGCAGAAAACTTCCAGGATAAGGTCCCCCAGAAGCTGGTGCTGCTGGACTGCCTGTAGATGATGGCAGAGTACTAGGAGGGGGCCTGGACCCAAAAGGCAAAGGTTGACCAGTGGGTGGCCCAGTTGGCCTTCCAGGCACAAAATTTGGAGGTAACGTAGATGATGCCGGCCCATATCCAGGCACTGGAGGTCTCAACTGAGCAACTGGAGGTGGACCAGGTCGTGAAAATGGTGGTGAGGGGCCAGGAATCCCTGGGGAAGGAGATGAAGATGGAAATGCGGGTGATTGGCCAAATGGGGGAGGTCTTGTAGCAAGGTTGGAGGTCATGGGAGGCCGATTAACATTCAAATTCTGCATATTATCAGCTAGAGAATCGGGAGTGCCTCTGAAATTAGGATTGTAATTTGGGGGTGGTGGTGGAGGGTTATTGCCGGTTCTAGATGCCCCTGGAGGCACAGGAGCAGCCATTGATGAATCGAGTCGAATCCCTTTATTCCTATTTCTCCTTCAAGAACTGCACGCCAAACATAAACGACAAGGCAACCGAATCACCAATAACCCGACATTCAAAATTATTGTAGTGCGGCTAAATGTGAAAATCAATACTAAAATGCGCAAACATGCATACATACCAAGAGATCAATCTACCAAACAACGAAGAAGGTATCTTTTAGCATTAGTAAAAAAAATTACCGTGAGGATTGTCTCAAACAAAAAAAAGGGGGGGGGGAACCATGAACAAAACGGCAAAACCAGAGATCGGATAGCTCAAATCGGTTAATCCGCCAAAAATTGGATTAGATCGGAGATAAATCAAAGAGAGGACTTTAAGAGGTGAAAGAGAGTGAGAGCTGGCAAATATTACATGAATAAATCTTTTTATATTCCTAGCGCCAATTTTGTTCATGGACGGGACAGGAAGAACACATCCGTCACTAGGGAACCTAAGAAAGGAATTGAACTTCAGGTGAGCAAGTGCATATTCCCTTTTCACATTTAACAGCATCACATATCCAATGTATTGACTTTTTACATTCTTGAGAAAAAGAAAATGAAAGACCCGTCATACCTCTTTTAGAACCAGACAGAATCCCCGTATCCGCTGTAACCTATCGGCTGATCTATCCGCTGCTTTGATTCCAGCCAAAATGCTAACTGATTGCTTTCTTAAGCTGCTACTTGGCGAAGCATCTCTAGAAGGGATCCCGCTCTATGTGAGACTGCATTCGATTGGCAGCCCGATTGCATGCCGGAACTGGAAACTCGAAGGTAATTTATGTTAAAATGAGATTTTTTTTTTAATTAGCAGGAAAAATGTTAAAATTATGTTTAACTTTTTGTTAATTGGTTAAAGTATGCATTTTAATTTTCAAAACATGATTGATATTAAAAAAATGGCATTTAAATGTTAATAAAATATTAAATTTAATTTTCAAAACAACCATTATTGATATAAAAAATCATCATTATTTAAAATCTTGCATGTTTTATACTATATTCATGCACCTATTATATGTTATTATTCAGATAATGTAAAATATACCAAAAAACATTCAAGAAAAGTTATTGATAATGAAATTCTTGTCCAAGATTACATAACATAAACTATATCAAATTCATGTCAATTATTTAATAAAAAATGATGATATTGAGATCTTAAATAGTGATAAAACATTCTCAAATGTTAAAATATTAAATTTAATTTTCAAAACAATCATAATTGTTATAAAAAATTATCATTTAAAACTAACGATTTTACGATTAAGTGATCAAATGTATTTTTTTTAAAGTTAAAGGACTAAATTGAAATCTTATATAAAATTAAAGCATCAAATATATACTTTAATCTTGTTATTAATTATTAATTATTAATTTTATACTATATTCATGCATCTATTGAATATTATTATTCAGATAATGTAAAATATTGAATTTAAGTATACCAACAAAAAATTCCATTCAGGAAAAAGTATTGATAATGAAATTCCAATGTAACATTACATGACATCAATTATATCAAATTCATGTCAATTATTAATTAATTGTTGAAGAATAAATAATTAAAATTAATGAATAATAATTATTTGATAAAAATAATCAAATTTAATGTCGTAACTTTATTTAAAACTATATACTAACAAAAATAAATTGAATAAAAAAACTTGAAAAATATTGCTTTTGTCATCATAATTAAAAAAAAAGGGAAAATTGGGGATAAATAGCCCATAAGAAATTAATTGACAAATAAGACCTAGGGACTTTGTGCAAGTAAATTTCCGTTATGTGCAAGTAATTTTCCGTTTTTGTGCAACTGATCTTTCATGTGTGTGCAACTAATTTTCCGTGTACGTGCAAGTAATCTTCCGCGGTGTGCAACTAATCTTCCTTGGATGCAACTAGTCTTCCTTATGTGCAACTGGTCTTCCTATGTCCCATTTGCCAATTAATTTCTCAATGGGGTATTTATCTCCAATTTTCCCTAAAAAAAAAATGGGGGTCCACATTTAGTCTGGGAATAGGATTAGGTTATTCCAAAGAACACGCATATATTTGAAGAATAAAAATCAAATCCTAGTGATTAGCAAAAAACTTAGGGTTAAAGTGCAATTCACTCCCCAGGTTTTCAAGTTGTTGTAATTGTTTACCAAATGTATTTTAAGGTGCAATTTCTATCCAGTCATATATTTAAAGTAGTGCATTGTTTGACCTCGATGAGAGATTGACCTAACGACGTTAATATATCAAATGGGACTACCATATTGATGCCATGTGGCATTCATATCGCATTTTTTTTGTATGCCACAATATTTTTTTAGGCCTCTTGTGGTTTTTTCTTTCTATCATCTCCCTCTTCCCGTTGGAGAAATCAGCTTTCCTAGTTAGCTTCCTCTCCTATCGTCTCTGATGCATGATTACTTTTAGAGTACAACTCACTGCAAAGCTTTTTTAATCCATCATCTCACTCTTCTCCAGCCTGATTTTCCCCCCTCACTCCTAAAATCACTAAAAGGAAAAGAAGACAATAAAGGGAGGATGGTGATCAATGAGTGGCAGATGATTGGATGAAGGTTGAATGAACCATGGTTAAGGCAGGATTTGGCCGAAAATTTAGAGTACCCAGTGCTGTTGTCCTTATCAATGTTGCTGTCGTCCATCGCCGCTCCTTTTCCTGTTCATCATCATCGATTTCATCGTTCTTCATTTCATAGATCTTTTTCTTCTTCTTCTTATTGAATTTGGTAAGATGGACGTCCATGGAGAAGCTTTGTGCCGTACATTCACAGAGGAGTAGCCTCGATGACAAGCCCAACTTGCAGCATCTGCGATGAAGGAGTTTCTGTTTAGGTTCGAACTTCATGGTGTTCAAAGTTTCACGATGCCTATGAGGTCTTTAACGAAACCCTCTTCAATTTCATATTTGTTTTGGGTTAATCCTTTTTTTTGGGCACTCTTTTCTTTTGATTATTTTGTTCATGAAATTAGTGTTGGGTTTGTTCAGTGATTTGAATTTTTATTCAATTAGTTCTTGAGTTTGTCGATGGTTTAATTTCTAAGTTGGGGTTGGGTTTGCATATGAAAGATGGTTCCTTTAGATTTTTTTTTTATTTTACACAAGAATTTTCTGATTTAATATTAGTTTAAAAAAAGGAAGGTGGGCACCACATAAGCAAAAACAAGTCAACTAACAGTCAAACGTTTGCATCCGTTTATGAGGATTCTAATTGTACTATTTTAAAATATAGTAGAATAGAAAATTACGTCATAAAAAATATTTGGTAAACAATTGCAACAATTTGGAAACCCTAGGATATACCTTAATGAACTCGCCCAATCTTCAGTTCAAATATAATCCCTGACTTGGTTTGACTTGTAAACGTTTTGATACTGAGTAAGGATATATGAGTACTACTACATCCAGTTGGGTTTGATATAACAAATAATAACAATAATAATTGAAATTAAAATAATATAAAGTTATTGATTATCTTCATTCAAAATATATTCTCTTAACAAGTCAAATTAGTATTAAAAATAGCATTCCTTGAAATTATAAATGATAATCAATTGTATAATATTTATAAATGACACATTAAGCTAAAATTATGAAATCAAGTTTAAAAATTAAAAAATCTTCAAAAAAATATGTTTAAAATTTCAAAATATCAAATCAGAAATAGTTACAAAAATGTGTTATTATTTGCTTTTAAATGTTCTCAATTGTTATTAAAATGTAGTAAATAAGATTGATTTGAAATTTTGAAATTTAAAAGTCTTTTTTTTTAGAATTCTCTCTTTAAAATTTTAAATGAAATTAAAATATTAGAATAATAAAATTTTTTTAATAGTAGTCATAAAATTATTTATTCCCTAGCTATATTGAGTATATAAAATGAATCATTATTTGTAGAGGATATAAGAATATATATACCTAATCGTGATTTAGCTTATTTTAAAGATGGCAACAAAAAATTAGCTTACTTTAAAACAAGCACTAATTGGTACAATGCATTGATCCTCTTTTCCGTCGCACTTTTTTCCCACTTTGGATGGACTAAATGGCTTAGAATCATGATTATCACTCAGGCCAACCAACCTAGTATCCACCCTAACCATAGGTTTTAAATTCTATGGCAGGATCTAATAATTTTGGTGATTTAAAAAACAACATGCATAAAAGAACTTATGAGGGATCAGTCTTACCCCAGACCTAGGGAAGTACTTAGGAGTGCCGCTACTGCATAAAAGAACAACCAAGACGTTGTTTGGTCCACTAATTCAGAAGGTGAAATCTAGACTGGCAAACCGGAAGGGGGAGATTCCTGAGTTTAGCAAGAAGAATGGTACTTATGAATTCAGTGCTCTCAGCCCTCCCGTCTTACCAAATGCAAACTATGGTACTCCCAAAAGGCATCTTAGTTGGACTGGAAAAAATCAACCGGAACTTTTTCTGGAATCATGCAAATGGGAGTAGGAAACTCCACCTCTTGGCGTGGGATGTGATTAAAAAAGAGAAAAGAAGAAGGAGGACTTGGAATCAAAGACCTATATAACTAGAATGTGGTGTTCATCGTGGAACTTTATTGGGGTATCCTTACAAAACCTGCCTTGTGGGTCAAATGTTTGAAAGCCAAGTATGATTGTGGAGAAAATAGGTTACCAGAAGTCACTTAAAAGAGAAGTCAATCTGAAGTTTGGAGGGTGATAACCTCAGTCTAGAAAAATCTCTTGAAAGGTGTTGGTTCTCAAGTTAAGAGCGGAGTGACAACAAAAGCTTGGAGTGATCTCTGGAGCCCCTTGGAGTTACTGCTAAAGTTCTACGCAAATAGAAACTTTCACAACATCAATGAGGATGAACCAGTGAGGAATTTTGTGACAAACAACGGCCAATGGAATCTTAATAGGTGGGGAGAATTTCTTCCTCATTGGGTGCTAGAAAAAATTAAAATGGTTAAACCCCCAACAGGGAGCGTCTAGGATAAGATTTGCTGGAGGAAAGCCGCTGATGGGAACTTTAGTGTAGGTACTGCTTATAATATGATATGTGATCATCAAAGTAGATCCATGAACCTTCTTTGGAGACAAATCTAGTGCTGGGGAATTCCTCAAAGAGCTAAATTCTTTATGTGGCAAGTTTTTCACGAGAGAATCCCTACAAATGCAACTAAAGCACAAATTCTAAATAGTGAAAATGACGAGTGCCCTTTTGAGTGTGGTTGTAAGGAATCTATATTACATACACTGAGAGATTGTGAGGCTACCAAAAGAGTGTGGCTAAGTTGTATTAACCCATTATACTATGCTATTTTTTTCTTTTGTGACTTTTAGGTGTGGCTAAAGTGGACAGTCGAGAATAACCCAGCAAACAGAAGATTTTCTAGATGGCTGTGGAGTTGAATCTTTGGAACAATATGCTGGGCGATTTGGAAAATTGGATGCAAGAAAGCTTGTGGTGAGGAAGCTACGAAACCAAGGGACCTGACTTACATGATTCTAAATCACCTAATGGAGGAAGTACAACATGAAAGATTTCATCATCAGATATACCAGATACCACAAAGAAGCATAACACAACGTGAACCCCCACCCCCGGATTATGTCAGAGTAGATGTGGATGGATCCAGATCAAGAGAAGCGGTAGCAATGTGCAGTGGTTTTATTAGTGACTCTCTTGGCCATTGGAAAGGAGGGTTTCAACAGAAATTGGGTGTTATTCCCTCAACTGCTGCGAAATTACATGCCATTCTGACAGGACTGCAGCTTTGCAAATAGTTGGGATATAGCAAGGTGAAACTCTACACAGACTCAACGGATGCTCTCCATTTATTGCTAACGGACTGTGACCCCTCACACCCTTGGAGGGAGATGGTACAGGACTTGAGACAATTGATCTTTGATAATTGGGATATTGAGATCTCGCACTCCTTCAGAGAAAACCTAGGATGTGCCGATAGACTAGCTAGGATGGCTTACTTTATAGAATAGGACTGTATTTTCTTATAGGATATCCCAAACTATTGTGTAGGATGGTATAGTCAGGGACAGGGTCAAGTAACCCAGTAACTTTTGTTTTGTTTTGGGTGGGGAATCCCCATTTTGTAACACTTCAGCTTGGGCTTGCCTTCTTATTATTAAAAAAAAAAAAAAGGCAACATGCATGAATAGAATATAGATTCTAGGGCAGGAAAAATTGCTCATAAATATATGTTTGAAAAATTAATGACCCAACGCTACCTTATATGCTTTCACAATGAGAAAGTACTTGGCACCCTAAAAGATTTCATACACAAAAAAGTATGATTATTCAAATTTGACTAGCATTGAGAAATCAGTTCTCGAAATATGTATTTATAGGCAATTCTGCCTTAACAAAATTTGTTTGTAAATTTTATCGGCCAAAGAAACATAGTACAACTCATTTTTAATTAGTGCAACTCTTTAATTTGTGCGCAATCCATCCTTAAGCGCAAAAATTTTTAAATGGGAATTACTTGCACATAACTAAATATATATGATAGCTGATTGAAGATGAGCCACATCTATAAAATTTTAAATATGTACTTTTTATTAATTTTCCCATAAAAGTATTGGTTCTTTCAATGTAATACGTGTTTATACTTGTTCATTGAGTTTTCAACTTCTCATATCACACAACCAAAGGATGTGGATGCAATTCGGTCATTTGGGTCTCTCTAATTACCTTAGAAGATACTACCTTGAGTCCTAATATAAAAACTAGTTGATTAACTTGAATAAATTAAGAAAATTTGTTAAGTTAATTAGTTATAATAAATAGGCCTCGTTTTCTTTAAAATACCCTTACTAATCATTTGTATTAGCTATAATTACCATTTGATGAAATCTTTAACATGTGTAACTATTATAAGAACTACTTTGAAAAAAATAAATAAATATGAGAGACAAAATGAATTGAGATTTTATATTTAAGATTAAATTAAAAGTTAAACTAACTCTTTTCACCACATCATCTTCCAAATTCCGAACAGAGCAGAAGCAATTTGGACACCTCCACTGATAGAGTATGTACGAGTGGATGTAGACGGAGCCAGGAACAACCAAGGAGATGCGGCATGTGGAGGAATTATCAGGGACGATAATGGCAACTAGCAGAGGGGCTTCATGTGTAAGATTGGGAACGCATCCTCCACGAAGGCTGAACTACTAGCTATTAGAACAGGATTAGAGCTCTGCAGAGAGATGAAGCTATCCAAGGTTAAATTATACACAGACTCAATTGAGGCTTTACATTTGCTGATGTCAGATAGTGGTCCAAATCATCCATTGATGGACGAGATACAAGAGATTCGAACATTGATCTTTTCTACTTGGGACCTGGAAATTATTCACTGTTACAGAGAATGCCTGAAATGCGCCGACACTCTAGCCAGGCTGGCTCAAGGCTTAACCCAAAACTATCAAGAGCTCTTGACGATCCCAAACGCTTGTTGGACCCAACTGCAGAAGGACTGTGGCAATATGCCAAGTGTATCCGCTAATCATTGAGTTGTAATGTTTTAAACTCTCAAGCTATGCTTGCCGTTTAAAAAAAAAAAAAAGTTAAACTAACTCTTATACTAAAGATTGGAGATAATAGTTACAGTGATAGGCAAATTACACAAAGACCCAAAATGAAATGGTACAAACTATTAAATACTGATAGTTCATTCTAATGGTAATTTATTTACATTATGATGAGTTTCAACCCTTAACTTTCTACTCAAATTTTACCCCATATTTACCTCCTAAAATAGCCTCCGGAGACACATTATTATGATCATACTTTCAAAGAGCATGGATCCAATTCGATATTCGGGTTCCTCTAGCGACCTTTACAAATAATTATAGAAACAAAACTGCAACTTCTAAGTCTGGGTGTGGAGGCATTATACGAGATCATGCAGGGGCTTGGATAGCCGGGTTTTGCTTTGAGACTGGAAATTGTAGTGTGATAGAGGCTAAGGAAGGGGCAATATTTAAAGGCTTGAATCTGGCTTGGGAGCTGGGCTTTAGACGCGTGCTGCTAGAATCTGAGGCCCAGAGCTTAGTTGACAGGCTGAACAAAAGGGAGACGAATGGCAGTTGCAACCTCACGTGTTAGGATCTGTGAAATGCTGAATCTCAATTGGGAAATCCATTTACACTACATTCCATGTGATTGTAACAGGCCCGCAGATGCCTTAGCTAAAATGGGCTTATCCCTGTCCACTCTTTGTGATTCCTGTCCGGAGAACCTGAAGAGCCCTGTGGAGAGGGACTCAAGGAGCAGTCTTATTGCTGATCGCTAGTTTTATTTTTGGGCCTTAGCCCTCTCTTGTACCAAAAAAAAAAAATTGATCCAGATATGGAAAATTGTTCGTTGGGAAGTAAAATCCGTCTCAATGAAAGAAGGGGTAAAAGCCTTTTCTTTTTCATTTACCTCACCCATCTTTTCCCTTTTCTTTTCTAATAGGGCTAATTACAACCACACACGCAACCCCCTTTCCCACAAGAAGGAAACACACCCTCCATACCCACCTGGGGTTCGAACTGCATCCTCCTTGTTGTAAGAGGAGCAGCGGTGCCATTGTGGCACGAGACACTGGCTAAATTTTAATAAATTTTTACAATTCGTTCTCAAAAGTAATATATAAGTTTTTTCCAACTATAACTTGACTTTAGGATCAATAAATCAATTAAAAATCTATCAAAATTACTTATTTGTCTTTTTGAAATTCAATAGCTATCTTTTTGTTATTTCTCCTTATAAAAATTATAAATGACTAAAAGTCCTTCATAATAAGATGCAAAAAGGAAATCATTCTTGCTTAACAAACGGGGCCTCAATTTCCATTCAATTCACTTGCTTTTTCCTCTGCTTCCCTCACTAAGAGGAAATCTAAATGGTTTGAGAAATGAAAGATTGGTTAGGCGTGATGACTGCTACACATGTACACTCCAAATGAAGGGAGTGGTGGGGGTGTTCTCCATTAACAAGCCAAACATGGCCCAGATCGATGCATTTCTAGGTCCCAAATTTTCACCAAAGGATTCATGCCAAGTAAATACTGAAAAAAAGGCATCTATGAAAACCAACATTCTCTAAATTCTGAGAATATGCAGACTTGTAACAGTCGCTTGCCACTAGGGTTTTGTATTACAACCCTTTTTGCCTTCACATGAGTTCTTGCGAGCATTATGATTCCCGCCTCCTGTTTGCAATGGATTGTTGAGTGAGGAACCTGTTTCCAAGACAGTTTCGACCAGTATTAAAATAGAAAAAAATTGAATTGATCAATTTATACTAGAGTCAGATTATCATCGGAGTTCAAACATTACAAAATGATCAAGTTGATAATTTAAAGGAAGCGACATAAATAGCTCCAGATGGTCTAAAAAAGCACACCAGTGATGTGCAGATCCAGTAACTTTTGCAGTCGTATTGTCAACCATTTCACAACTAAATGTCGAAAAAAAATTGATATAGCAACACTCATTCGATCCAATCAAGTGTTACATAACTAAATGCACAAGTGGTTATACAATTCAAATGTCATTTTCCACAAGGGACAAACAACTTAAGTGTTACGGTATTGTATGTGCTACGTATTTTAGAACCCTATGGGAAAGGGTTTGAGATAGAGGCACTATAAGTTGAGAATCAGACGTAAACTTTACGGACAAAAGTTCTAAATCAAGTGTATTTAGCTTTGAATCTTTTAATAGCTCATCTTAGAAAGCAATTAGAAACTAATGACCATCAGAAAAGAGGGTTTGGTGTGTGTGTGTGTGTGTGTGAGAGAGAGAGAGAGAGAGAGAGAGAGAGAGAGAGAGAGAGAGAGAGAGAGAGAGATCTGGCAACTCCTCAATGTTACCAAAGGAGATTCAGACTAAAATGTATAATTAATCTACATAAACACCAAGATGCTAATTAAAATCATTATGATGGATCGCTATTTTGCACAATGCGCATTAAAATTCCCACCAATAATCTAACGGACACAGGTAAACAATTACAGAGTTCACATGAAAATCGAATTGAAGTTCTGCAATCACTGAAGAAACAAAACTTGGACAAAAAGTAAAGACATACTTTCCAGTGTAGAAGCCAGCAGAATACCAAGCATTCAAAACAACTGTAAGATCTGTTTCCGAGCCATTATGTTGATCCAGTTCAGAGTGGGTTCGCTCTATCTCTGAATAGCAACCAAGAAAAGCATTAATAAAGAAAATAAAATTAGGCAGTGGATCATGAGAACCTCTAGAATCAAGATAAAATCTACTGGTAGTAATGAAAAGCCGCTAAAACAAAAGAGGGAAGTACATGAGTTAAGAATTCCAAGATTTGTACGCTTTCACCAGAAAATCAATTGAACCAAAGAAAGGTGAAGGAATACAACATGCACAAAGTTTAAAATTCAATCCAATAGACACTGAGAAGCTGATTGCATGCTTCAATTAAGGCAGCGATGACATGTTATGGAAACCACATAAACAGAAATAAACAGAAGCAACATGCTTCTGCACATGCACTCCAGTTCATTATTGAAAGGCCTTACAAGGCTACAACTACAATTGCACCAAACAGAGAAACGCACAATGGAAGTCCAAAGAATTATGGGTTTAAATTTCCAAGGAATATCAAAACAAATGAAGTTTGGAAAATTTACCATGGGTCTTACGTGACCAAAAGTAGATTTTTTTTTTGTTGGAAAAAATAAAATATTTCTAGCTTTTGACTCAATTTGTTTGAGAATTAAAAGATGGTACTTTGTTGAAATTATATTTCCACTTCTCCATGCAGAAAAATAGTTTTAGCATAGATCTCAAAAAGCCAATTCATAACAATGACAAAATTATCAAGGCACAATAGAAAACAATAAGAATGGATAACTTCATCAATCATTAATTCAATCTACTTACTGTAACCATGATATTCGAGGATGTCTAATTTGGGGAGGCATAATTACCTTCTTTTTTATCAGAATCACCAGAAATGGTTGTTCTAATGGTAGACATTGCCCTCTCAGCAACTCCCATTGCTATTTTAAGGATTTTATCATCTTCATTTGGAAATGACTTTTCAAGACACTTCATTACAGAATAATTATTACAAGGTTTGCCAACAGAAGTTCCACCCAAGGAACAAAGAGGTACTGATGTACATGGAGGCAACAAGCATTGACTACAACATGGGCAGCATGAACAGAGCACATTTGGATCAGAAACGTGGCATGCAGACATGGAACAACTCTGGGAATTAGAATGCGGTACACCAGAATTAAAAACAGAATCAGTATATTGGCAATTCCATCCACCGTATTGATTAAGTTGCTCTAAAATCTTCTGTTGCTGCTCCTCAAGCTCATAGTACTGACCAACTAATCGATTATAATTATCGACACCTTGTGTATGTGAATAGCTGTTATGCCCATCCACAGAGTGTCCCATGTTTTGACCAGCTAATGAGTCTGGACAAGGTGGGGCTACTTGTGAATCTGCATGACAATTTTCTTCCAGGTATGAACCATTATCAGTCTCTCCTGGATATGCATTACCTGGAATGCTGCTTATCTCATCAGCATTACTGTATTTAATAAAGAACAAGAGATTATCAGAAATGTATGATACCTACAACTTAGCATTACAATTTACAATGTTGCCAGGATTATTATTGCAGAAACAACTGAAGAAAGATATACTGATGGGGGATGGAAAGAGATTAAAAGCAATGTTAATTAACTTTCAGCAGGCCTTTGCCTTTAAAGGCCTACTTAAATAATTATAAGGCCTTTGAATAAGATTTCAGGACAGGCTTTTAACAAATCCAGGGCTAAACCTAAAAAAATGCCTTAGAGGCTAACAGGCTAGACTAAGGTTTTAGACCTACAAAACAAGCTGAGGCCTATATAGTCAAAGTAACCTAACCTGGCCTATTTTTACCACCAGAAGGGGTAAAAAGCATAAAGGAATAAACATTACCTTTTAGTCTCAAGATTTTCATAAACATTACTAGACTTAGAATCAATTTCTCCAATGCTGCTAGTCATTTGCTTTGTCTCAGCTGAGTTATTTGTGTTTTTGCTGCTGTGCATTATCTGTTGCAGGATTCACGGGGAAACAAAATAATTAAAAGGCCACCTCAAAATCAAAGTAAAAAGCAACAGCACCAAAAAATTAGACTCCACAGAATAACCAAATATCTGATTTCCCATGCAACATATGAAAACATGATTTTAACAATTCATGACAGACACATTAAGTAACTACGGTTCTCATCTAGCCATGCACGGTGCATCCATTGATTGTGCAATAGGCAAGGACATCATATACTACAAAATGGCAATAAGCGTACATAGATGGCACTGCAGGTGCCTTATATTGAACTTCAAATGCACGTTGATATAGAATTTTCATAAACAAATAACATCATAACATAATGGGTAGTAACAGATATGAGAAGTAGGTAGAAACATTATTGCCTATAAAATAGATATTAAGCACCCATTTGTAACCCAGATTATGGTTGCTCTGGATTAAGTGCATTGCTTAGTTTCTTCTTCCTGTTCCTCTCTTCCAAGTCAAGAAGCAACAACTACAGGAGTTGAACATCTGCCACATGTCCGAGAGCAATGTGGGGAACAAAGCAAGCTCTTTTGGCCCTAGTCGAGGCTTGTGGAACTCATGAGGGATTGGGTCAACAAATCTTTTTCTAACGGGTCCCACCAGGACACAAGTAACATGATGAAAACACCCTCTACCATAACACCAATTCCTGCCAAACCTCTGTTACATCTATCACAGCTCTCATTAACTCAACAATCACAGAGTTGATGAGCCTCAAGAAGAAAAAGCTAAAGACCCAGCTCCCAACAAGCAGAAAAAAGTGTCATTTAACAAGTTGCTGGTTTATGGGCTTTGTCTTTCAAGGAAAGAGCCCAAAGTTGATCAATTTTAGTTGGGTTTCTCATGTTCAAGTCTCTCCTACAAGAACTCTGGTTCACATTTGGTTCAAAGGGGAAATAATCAAGATGTTTTGGCTCCGTTTTGCCATGTACCTGACCCTTAAGGGCAAGGGTCTTTCGGGGAGGGAATTATTAATATAGAATTGTAATATAATAAATATAAATGAATAACAAAATAACATAATGGATAGTTATAGATGAGAGGTAGTTAGAAACGCAATTGCCTATAATTATATATTAAGCACCCATTTGTAAACCATTGATATGGATTAAGTGCACTGCTCAATTTCCTCTTGTTGTTCCTCTCTTCCTCTCTATCTTTCCCTCTTTGACCCTGTCTCTATCTTCCCTTCCCTCTCTTCTACTCCCTCTTTCTCTCTCTGTCCTAACTACGATACATACTATAGATGAGGCTTTGATTGAGGGGGAAGAAAAAGAAAGAAAGATTGTGGAATGAACGCTTTCACTGCCTTTACCAACTGGTAGTAAATGAATAGAAATATGTAGAAATCAGAGAATTAATTGAACCTAAGAACTAACAGAATCATTACAATGAAATAAATATATCAAATTAACGAAAAAAAAATTGAAATATGCATGCATGATGTATCTGTAGGTTCTCTACCTTGTAAGTAGAGATAGCCCGATCAAAGGCAGAGATAAGAGCGGAATCATCCCAGAGATCACCCTCCTTCCCCATTGAGAGTCAACTCGACTCAATCACACACCTCACCAGAATATTTTTGTTTTGATGGAGCATTCCATTGTCATTAAAACTGTGTTTAAGTTCTGCAAAACATAAACACCGTGTTATTACAATGACATCGATTAAATCATGCTGTATACTTTTAAAAATATCATCTAATTAGTCTAACATTCCAATCATTTGATATACATCAATGATACTCCATATAAGATCCCTTCTATAAAACAAGTCACCTTTTTACACAAAATGAATTCCATTCCAGTATCCCTATCAATTTTTAAGCATTCTTATTTTTAACTCTAAGATATGATGCATGCTACGGCCTTTTTTTTTTTTTTTTTTAAATTTTATTGCGCTTGTGATTATTTATTGCTCTTGTGATTATTTGAAGTGTTTGCAGCTTTCAGGTCCAGTTCCATTCAAAGAAAGTTTCTCAATCCATATTAAGAAGAAGGGGCAAAGCAACTACCTATATAACAAGTTAAAGATTCAAGAAAATATATTTTTACCATGGTAAATAAGCATAGTAAACATAAGGCATCACAAGAAAAGCAAAGAAGAGGAAAAGCATAGAATAAAAAAGAAAACCACCAGAATAATGAACATCAAAGGAATATTATGGAGCTGCAGAATTTTACCTGAAAAAGTTTGTTCCAACAACAAAGTAATAAATGTTCTAGTGCTCCCTTTATTCAAGTTTGTTCTAAATTATCATATCATTTTACTCCATTGCTCGTCATATATGTTTTTGCATATACCGCATATTTCTGTTTGGACAAAATATACCACAACTTCGTTGTTTTGCATTCAATCTGTACATGAATTAGCATACCCCACGTCCAAAGAAGGGCGGATATGGTCCAAAGATGGTGATAAAACAATGCGATGGCATTGAAAAACATGACACACCGAGGAGCTTGAAAGAAAATATATCTTAGCACTTAGTGCCCCACTCCCTGCATTAACAACCACACTGTAACTTCTTTCGGAACCCCGAAACCGAAACCCTCACCAAACACCCAAACCCTGACCCCTAAAGAAAAAACTAAACCCTAAATCCTAAATGATTCATTTGTTTTCTCAACACTCGCATGGTTTTGAAAATCTTCTCCACAGCATGATTTCCTCAATCTCAAAAAAAAAAAAAAAAAAACTACATACTGACTAAAATACAACAGGTGTCGCACAACGCTGTTTTTCAGAAACAGTGAGGAGGAGAAGCATAAATCTTACCATATTAGAAGGATCGAAACCCCCTTCGCCGAGCTTTACAATTTACACGGCGAACTTCAACAAGAGAGAACGATGAGCACGATGGAGGGCTGGCCTGCGAGAACGGAGAACCGCTTGCACGATGGAGAATGGGTTGCGAGCACGACGACCACGATGCACTGGGTTCGGAGAACAGAACGGAATGGATTAATCAGGCTTGAGTCACTGTTCGAGATGGCCCATTTAAACATAGGCCTTTCTTGAAGCCCACAAATCATGCATATATTTGTTTTTGGTGACAAAATCACGCATGTTTTTGGTATCTTCCATTCGCATCGAGTGCTGTTGGATTTAACCGTTTTAATAATTTTACTCAAAAAATACCATCATGTTACCAATCTAACCTTCTTAAAATTTATTTTATTTTAATTTCAAAGAAAAAAATAGAAGTTTGTAGTTTGCTCAAGTAATTTTTCAAGAAAATAAAAAGAGAAAAACATAAAGGCACAAATAATAAACATTTTGAAGTGTCCTTAAAAAGAATTTAAAACAAAAACCATAAACAGCTTTTTTTCTATGTCATCTTTTGAATATCCCAACATCCTTAAACCCTAAATCGTGACTTTCAACGTCAAAACCTATGATATGGTTTAGAGAGCCTTCAACGCTTTAAGGGAAAGGCTTCAGGGCTTTGGCTTATGGGAATAGAGATTGAGGTTTATTCTTTTAGGTTTAGGGTTTAGGGTCTAGGGTCTAGGGCTTAGGGCTTTAGGGCTTAGGGCTTTGGGCTTAGGGCTTAGGGCTGAGGGCTGAGGGCTGAGGGCTGAGGGCTTTGGGCTCAGGGTTCGGGGCTCAGGGTTTGGGGTTCCGGGGATCGGGTTTGCGGGGATCGGGTTCGGGGTTTCGGCGTCGGGTTTTGGGGTTCGGGGTTTTTGGGTTCAGGGTTCGGGGTTTCGGGGTTCGGGGTTTCGGG